CTACTTTAGTTTTTAAATAATGTTTTGGTTGTTTTTCTGATGGATTTACCTTTTTAGAATAGAATAAAATAGGTGAGTGATCTGTTATATTTGTTTGCTCGAAGACAACCGTTTGCCACATTGACTGACATCTTGCCATGAAGTGATCGAGACAGGAGTTTGACACTGGACGAGTAGCACTATTGATACCCTGTATCAGACCATGTAAAGCTATTACTTCTAGATATTCATTAGTATCAGTTGTGTTAAGATTTAGCGTATCGACGTTTATATCTCCTGTCAGTATTATATTTGAAGTCTTAATTGATGCCAATAATACATTCAACGAGTCCAAAAATGTTTTCAACAACTGGAAGCTTGGCGGTCGATACATACAAATTATTGTAGTTTTATCATCCATATTGACAACTAGGCAATTGCAGTCAACTATCTCTTCAGGTTCACGCACACTGTACTGTAACGTTTCTCTAATGTATACGACTACCCCATCATTTTTATTGTAGCTTTTATTAGTACAGAACATAGCATAGCCGTTAATTGTTGGTGGTGCGCAATTGTTATTTGTCCAACATTCACTCAGTGAAAACACATCCACCTGTACATCGATTTGCGAGGCAAATACTAAAAAGCTATCCAGATTTTTGTTAATGCTCCGAATATTATGGCTTAAGATACATAATGATTTATCACCATTACCGGGATACATATTTAATACTCGCGAGCATTCACTTGGGTCTGATAAAATATCGCATTTTATCACATCAGTGTCGTCTATAATGTCAGTAAATATTTTATTTGTAGTACCCATTGTTGTAAGTAAATAAAAGTAAATGGAACTGTCTTATTTTAGCAGTCTGATATTGTTTAGAACGCATTATACTGAAGCATAGATCGCAACATATGAAAGTGAAATCGTGGTTGGAGTTGACCAATGACATTATGTATAAGCAATTTATATAAATAATACTTATAATTGGTACATATAATGGAATAAAACATGTATGAGTTGAGTGATTGTGATAGTTTCGTATGTTATTTGTGTGTTTAAATGGTGCAAACTTTGTAAATAGTAGAATCGGTCTTAATGCTAAATAGAATACTCGGTAATTATGATAAACAATACCAAATAGCTTAAACAGAACAATCAAAAACAATAAAATATCTAAACATCTAATATTGAATAGTCATGCCTTCTCAGGCATATTAACCGGCAAATCATTATCGCTGGCTATTTTCAGCGCCCTGGAGCCTTCTTTTTGTCTCAGGTATACGATGCCGTTTGATGTCCAACAAAATTTGAAGTCATTTTCATTTGCGAAATCGCGTGCCATACGGAATAATCTTTTTGCCTTATAAGTGAGGGACTCCGATATGAATATTCGATTCTCCGGTTTATCCATTAGTAGATGCTTAGTACTCAGCTTTTCAGCGTTATTTTGTTTATTAAATGCTTTCAAACCGTTTAATAAACACTGCTTATACTTAGAAATTGTAAAATCGACAATTATTGGTTTGTTGGCTTCATTTTTTGTATTTATTCTGTATATATTTTTAACCGCCTCCGAACTAATATCAACCTTTAGAATCTTACAAATATTTTGTAAATAATCATGCAAATCCTGGCTTGTTTCAGTTTTAGACACTTTAGGTATATTTCTTATTTCAATTTCATTTGATTTTAATTTTCTTTCCAATAAATCGAGTTTATTTTCAAGCGTCTCAACATATCTTCGCGTTTCTTTTTGTTCATTTTTAAAGTAATTTATTTCTTCTTGCATATCATCATACTTTTTACTTAAAAAGTCCAAAGTCTTCATTATTTCACCGTTCTGTTGCTTTATTTCAGTTACAGAGTTTTCAATCAAAGATAATTTTTTGTCTTGAAGTTCCGTAAATGCACTAAACATATTCCTCATATCATTCATAAATTGGCGCATTGTATTCTCCTCATCACTATTAAATTTTCGCTTCATACGCAGAGTAATATTATCAAGCGCTGAGTCCGAGCCTGCGTGTTGTATCGCCGGTGCAGGCGCTAGCGCAAACGAGGGTAGCGGTGTGGTGGGACGAGGGATCGCCGCTGCCGCCGCCGGCGAGGTTTGTGGCGGTGGCGTACGCTTGAGTGGCATCATAGATTTGTACTAGGATATCAGTAAACAGTAGAAGTCAAATCACTAAGCTCAATCAACTGAGGTCTAGTTATGTTGGCATCGACGTTTTCATACAAAATTTCTTTCCGTCCAGTATAACCAGACACTTGCAATCGCCGCTCCAAGTATGAGCAAGACAATACGTAATGTTGAATGAATAAAGGATAGATTTGAATAGACTCACATAAACGTAAGCGCGTTTACTCCAGTTATCACTCACTCGCGGTGCAATTTAGTTCCTTTGATTTATGAGCTCCTATTTTTCATGTCAATTTAATATTGTTTAATTGTAAATAATTTACTATTGTAATGAATACCACATTAAACACGTCTTTAACAGTTAACGTCCGGGAGGGGAGAGGGAAGTCTAATCTGGTTAACAGATGTCTCCAAAATGGGTCAAAATGTAAGATGTGGTATATACGGCGAAAGGTCGCGATTCAATAAAAGCGTGAATCTCGGAAAACACGCTACTATATTCCAGGCAGAGGTATATGTGCAGAAGCCAATCGTCAACGAAACTACACAAATCAGGCCATATATATCTTTTCAGATAGCTAAGCAGCGCTTAACGCCATTAACTCGAACACGATATGCTCGAAATTGGTGAAAGACTGCGTTGATAAACTGAATAACCTGGGTCAAAAGAATTTAAGTTATTCTTAAATGGGTCATTCAGAAAGCATGACTTAGCAAGAGCAGGGAGACAGGGGCAACAGATGGGACCAGAACGTTTCTGTGGCATCCCTAAACTATGCTAAGCAATTCCCTAAACTATTCTTAAACCCTGGTTGGTTTATTAGAGCACGCCAAATCACTTATTGAGGGTTACTCGAAAAAACGGTCTGTTGATATATTAGAACTTAGCAGGCCGAACATCCGTGCTATCGTAAGCGCCTTAACTGGACACTGCAAACTCAACAGACACCAATTTCATATGAAATTGAGTGACACTGAACTGATGTTTGCAGATACTGCAATCAGAAGCGTGAAACACCAAAACACCTTCTATGTGAATGTGGGCCCTCATCCACAAACGTAGTATTAAATCTCAAAAAGGTCGAAACATTTTGAGCTTCTTGGAAGCTGTCGGGCTAAAACAGATACTTTAACTTAGTGGCGAGTGACAATAGATCTTATAGTCGCAGTGACTATAGGCCCAAAAAAATAATAATAATAGAGCTCTCACTACGGGATTGACGGCGGTGTGTTTCTCCAATCATTCAAAGTCGAGTTAGATGCAAAGAGTTAGCATAAAAGTTCCGCTTTCTCTTATGCAGTGAGAGAGATCGCTTGATCAGCTTTGTGTAGAGGTGGTAGGTATGACTTACACAAGTTTCTTTCAATAGCTTTCGCAAGAAACCAAAACGCGAGTTCCTGACGGAAGTTTGGTTAATCTCTTGCCAATGCTGCTGATGTGCTCCGATTTCACCCTAGCAATCACTCTTTTGCAAGACCTGGAGGCTGAGTTATACTGTTTTTTGTGGTCGCTAATATTTGCATCCCGAACCGCCGCTATGTTTGCCCAGGCCTGATAACACCTCTGTTTTTGGTGCGATGCCAGTTTACAGTGGCGACCAAAGCAAGGTTGGGATTTGCCACCAATGGGGACCACTGAGGAAGGAATAAAAAGTTCCATAGTCTGGAGGACGATATCGGCGACAGAACCAGCAACGACGTTGGGATCATTCTACGAGAAGCAAACCCGGCCCCGAGTGTAGGACGCAAAGAAAGAACGCATCCCATCTTAATCTGCTGGCTTATAGTGTCACACATGGTGACAGCCATCAAATTGCGGTCGCGGTGCGTAGGTGAGTGGCACTATTCTTAGACAGTGGTCCAAGGAGCCAAGAGGACCCCTACGGACACTTCGTAATTATCCGGATGAGAGATCAGCAGAAGGTCCAACATTGAAGGCTTGTGGTCTTCAGCATCTAGGGTTTCGCGTAGTCGAGGTAAACAAATGCCAAGGCGAAATCGTGAGCAAATCTACCTGCGTGATCGGTAGTGGGCAATCCAAGTAATTCGGAGTGGTAGGATCATGATTTTCGAGGATGGAATCTGCTAAAACACGGAGTCAGTAGCCACTTGGACGTAATCAAAGAGTCATACGGTAACCACCTGCGCCATCGAGCTTCAGTCAAGAGAATTCGCTAAACATCTGCGCCATCGCGCTCCTCGTGAATTACATTAATAAAAATGAAATTATATTAATTAAAACCCCTAATAGGTCCATGGCTTTTACCTGGTAGTAAAGGTAAATCTATGAGTAAAGTCATGTAAACACTTTTTGGTTGCTATGAGTAACGCTATAGAGATTAAATATTTAAAATTGTGTTGTTGCTGTTCAAAGCTACAAATGCTTGAGTTTTGTAATATTTTTTCTTTTACGTTAGTTTTTAATTAATTAATCAGAAAGTATAGGTACTCTAAAATATTAGGGGGAAACCTGCTATGTATGAGGGAATACTGAGCAATTTTCTCTCGAAAAATGACAGAACTAGTTGAGGAAACAACCACAACAATTCATCCGAAAGTGAGGTAAGTTAAACTTTCTTATTACGTACATACGAGTACATTATTAAGCCGCTGACCGACGCCAACGCAGACGCCGCGCCGTCAAACGCGGCGCGTGAATAAACCTTCGTCATACCCAACTTAATCTGCCTTATTACAAAACGTAGACTAAAGTTAAACCTGGACTAAAACTGATGCTGTCACTTTTGTCACGTTTGTTTGTGTGGGTGTCAGTCAGTCTCTCAGAGCATTCGAGTGTTGGGTAATGTTTTGCGGCATTGTGCCAGTGTACTGTGATATTCTGTAACCGGCAAAATTTTCGCAAATGACTGCAGGTTGCGTTAAAACTTTTGCCCAAAAGTTATCCGTCTTCATTTGCGATACTTCTAATTTGAAACTTTACCGAGTTTTTTTTTATTGGATTGCCGTGTTTTAGGACACGGCAGTGAATATACTGCCGTGTACCGTGTTTTGTTGCGAAACAGACAGAAATTGCCGTGTTACACGGCGTACGTCGGCGCTTAAACTATTAGCTACTGCTTTTCAGGTGGGTCATTCCAAGCAAAGTACAAGCTTGCAGTTTTGTTGGAAGGGATATATTCGCAATCGCGCACGACATTTACATAATATTCTTCAATCTAAAAAATAATTCTGAACTTGTTTATGTCGCAAACAATGAAAAAACTGGCGATGGAATTGATGTCATTTCAGGTAATGAAATAATATTGTAAGTCATTATTATTATTGGTAACTGCTAATTAGATAATATATTATTATTATGTATATTCTCATTGCTAGATGTGATATTATAGCACTATTGGAAAATAGCATAGTTTGCGGGTTTGAGTCTTTTTTTCAACACTATTTTTCTTAGAATATATTTTCGCGAAAAACAGTACCCTTAGTACGAGTTTGAGCTCACGAAAACTATCATAGTTTTCGTAATTGTAAATTGTATGTTAAACCCTTTATACCAGAGTTCTTCAAAATTGGTACAGCGGTTTAGGCGTCATAGCGTGCGTGACAGACAAACAAATAAATGCGGAATAACTATTAAAATTAGAATGATTGTTATAAAAGGGAAAGTAACTCTCGAGTTACAATATGGATTCTAAACTACAATAAGAATTATTTTTAACACATAAAAATATTTCAGGTTACAAGACGAATATACTTGCGTTTTCCGAAAAAGTCAACAACGGTCGAATTTTCATAATGAATTACCCCTCTTTCTCAATCGTTGCCGAGTTGAGAGGTACGTATTACTGTATATTACCCAGTTTCTTCGAATTAATTTCGTAAGAATAATAAAATTCAGAATGTTGGTACTTACTGAATTTGAATGTATTCTAGGTATATTGATATTTGATTATTTATTAAAATAGAGATTAAAGCGCCAGGTATCGATTTGTAATTAACTTTATTAGTTATTTAACTTTAAACTCGCGCGAGGTTGGTGCTAGTGGATATTCTAACGAGAAAGCTCATCAGAGCCGGCCAGCACCGCCTCGTCGCGCGAAGTTCGTCCACTCTTGGTCAACGAGCAAACTCGGGTGGACGCGCGATAATACGTGCCCGAGAATAAAACAATAGCCTATTCCGAAGCGAAGTGAGGGCGGGTCACTACACTAGTACCTATAACATGAAATAGCAATGCGAGGGAAAACTCCTAAGCCTGCCTCAAACTCGCCAGATATGGCTGTGAACCGGTACAAGGGTCTTTGTATGATGGAGTGCGAGCTGGTGGCGGGATTTAGCGGGTTCCCGAACTACCTGGTGACGGTGTGGAACTGGCGGACGCAACAGCAGCTCATCTCTTGCGCCACCGGTGTCGTTGGTCGCAGACAAATGTACATGTAAGTAGGGATGCAAAGTCTTCTGAAATATCGATATTTATATCGATATTTATATCGAAGTTAGGAAAATATCGATATCCGATATATCGACCATTTTAACTCGATATTATCGATATATCGATATTGTTTTCTTTTTTTTGCTTTGTATTAAGTTTGCAAAGCAAAAACCTAAAATTAAGGAAGCAAAGGTTTCCGAAATATCGATATTTATAATGTGGGCAGGTAAATATCGATATCGGATCCGATATATTAGCCATTCCAACATTTCCAACACGATATTTTCTATATTTTTTATAGCGCTGTAAGAAGTATCAAATCAAAAGCAATTTCGAATGAAAGATATTTATTTTGTTTAAAATGTTTGCACGCAGCCAAAATCAGAATAGATAATCATATGAAAAACAATTGTTATGTATTAGTAAAACCCACACATCAGGGGCGTGCCCATGGCTTCAGAATAGGGTAAGCCCAAAGCTTCCAAAATTACTATACCTATCTTACTTTGTTGACTTGGCGACCTTAAAAAATTTACGATTTGTATAAGATTCTTAATTTTATTTTGTGCTAATATTACAATGATATTAAACTTCAATTAATCAGTACTTGACAATTATCTAGAAAGAGAGGCAAGGATTTTATTTAAGTGCATGAGTCACCATTAGGTATACGATTATACCTATATACGTTGGTGTCGATTCTGGCATGATTATCTAAACTTAAAACTAATTTTAACATCAGTCTCTCCTTTTCATTCTGTATAGAGAATGACAAGGATACACTGTTGTCAAATTTAATTTTAGGTTTAGAGAATCATGTCAGAATCCACACCAGTTTAGTATATTTCTTGGGGTTCAAGATTTTTTTAATACATCTATAAGCTCTAACGATTTCAAAGCAATAGTTATTTCGATATTATTCAATTTAGATAGTCATAGCAGGTCAATTAATTGATATTATTGTGTTCAAATTTAGTCTACGAAATATCGATATTTTGGAATTTCCGATATCGATATTATCGATATCAGTGAATTTTAAATATCGATATAAATATCGATATTTTGGTCTCGATATTATCGATATTCCGATATATCGTTGCAACCCTACATGTAAGTATAGTATGGCTATTTCTCCAAAATAACTCCAAAATAATAATAACGCAAAATTAATTATCATTGAAATTAAAATAATATGTTTCATTAAAACAACGTTCTTTATTATATTTAGTAACACTTTTCCATTCAAATTTAGGTAATAGAAAAAAAAATTGACATTAATTCGACAAAACTGGTGTCAGGACACACCAGAGAGTAATAAATTATTGGTAATTTGCGATTTTGAAGTGAAAACTTCTTTAGCACCGTTGTGATTTGAATCTCAATGAAACGGAAATTTTACAGTATTTGACACAAGGTATCCGTAATTTTTAACACTGCAAGAGACAGATAGCTTAACAGTAACAGTCTTGGGGTTGACACCAAATGATCGGTGGTTCGATCCTGAGCTCGGTTTTTTTTTCGTTTTTTTTTATTATGCTGTTATTTATTTTTCGAAACAATTTAAGTATGTAAGTAATAGTTATGATTTTTTTTTTAAGCATTTAACTGCTAGATGTTTAAATCTAAAGAAAAGTTTACTAGAAAAAAATCCACGCGGACCAGGCAGCGGACGGGACTCGAACCCGCATCCTTCGCTATCCGGGCGAATGCACTGACCATTATGCTACCACGGCCCTATTAGCCGTGTCGAAATTTTCCTAGCCTTAAGCTGCAAGGCAGCGCCATCTCTTCGCATTGTAGGTAACCCACAATGTCAAATGAATACTTTTTCTAGTATTTTTTTCTAGTAAACTTTTCTTTAGATGTAAGTAATAGTTTAAGTATGAAGGACTTTTACGTATTCACATTTTTGTAGGTTTCACTTCTATCGCATGTGAACAGCACATGTATGTTTTTTTGTTGTTATGTAGGTAATAATAAAGTTAGGCACCAGTGTGTATACGTAGCATACACCAAGGTATGCTGCATGCCAAACTACAATAAACAATACCTATTTCGTAACGTTTCTCCAAGCAGCCGCTTTTTTTCGTTTGGAGAAGTAGCCGTATATACTTATGTCCCTTAATGTTGCATTAAGATTGATTAACTAACTAAAATCGAATAGCGTAATTATTAGCGAAATAATTTTCCCCGGCGCATAAAGCTCTTATCAAAAATACCCTTTTAATCCAATTATTCTTCAGCAGGAGCTCGATGGCGCAAGTGGCTAGCGCGTGCGGCTGTGATCGTTGAACTTTAGCAACTTTCGCAGTGGTCGGTCATTGGATAGGTGACCAAAAATTACTATCTCGAGCTCCTCCGTGCTTCGGAAGGCACGTTAAGCCGTTGGTCCCGGCTGCATCTGCAGTTGTTATCACCCACCAATCCGAACTGGGCCCGCGTGGTGGGTCATGGCCCAATCTCCCTATTCCATCCATAGGGAAGGCCTGTGCCCCAGCAGTAGGGACATTAATAGGCTGATGATGATTCTTCAGCAGCGATCCGCAAATGAGATCTTTAATATTTATTTTTAAATTTGCCGTTACGAGATTGGGTGTCCTAACGAGATTTTCTATACACAGATTTTTTCAAAAGCTTCTAGCAGGTCTTATTTGCCTCATCAATTATGGACCCACATATTTTTTTTATATTGAAGGTAAACAATATGCTTAGCTGCTTTGAATGAAAAAAATTACCGAGTGTATTGTTTCTTGTTATCTGGTCAGGGCCAGTCGCACGCACATGTTGTTGTGCGAGTGTTGGGGCGAGGGCCTGATCGTGTGGGAGGTGGCGCAGTGTCACAAAAAGACGCTGATACTGCGCCGAGCCAAGGAGGAGGTCAAGGGCTGGGACGTGGCTGAGCCGCCCCTGGTCGACGTCACCTGGAGCAACGAGGGGCAGCTCTATGCAATTGACCCGCAAGCTAACTTGTACGGCGTAAGTAATTTTTAGGATACTGCAAACCCATATAAACGGGACACACTTTCCTCAAGTCAATACCAAAAGACAAGTTTCGGGAAATTTTAACGAAATTTTTATCAGCTCCCGATTAAAATGAGTAAAATTCTATAGTTTACTTAGGTTTGTTTATTATCCTTTATAATTAATAATATTAATATTATCCTTTAAAATTAATATTATAATTATATAAGTACCGTCAATTTTACACGATATGTCCAGAAAGGCCTATGCTCAGCAGTAAGCGTCGTACGGCTGATATGATGATACAGAAAGAATCATTTCGCTGCAGATGTGGGGGACCTTAGATCTAAGGTGAAACATAAGTCTAACCAATAAATATATTGGTCCATGCTATTAGGAAGTCTCTGAGCTAGACTGCGGATGAATCCAATTTTAAAGTATATACCTACATATAATCGGATATACAGAGGCGAAAGTATGGGGTTTCTTGATGAATTCGAAACCCTAAAAATGAACAAGGGTTACACTTGTTGGTTTTGATTCTTAGGCACTTACTATTTATCCCTCTTAATTAGATCCCTTGCGAAAAGGATATGCATGAAATGGTATTGCTCCTACATCTATGACAAAAAGCTTTTGTTACCGACAGGTCTTGTCTGATGGAATAGGTATGGTCACCAATCTTGAATGGTCGGACAATCTGGAGGGCCCGAATAAACCCCTTATGTGTACCTTTGGCTGCGGTTTACTTATTTATGGACCCGACAAAGTAATCAGGGTAAGAACAACTTTGCGTTGAGTAGCAACCTGAGCAATAGAAGGGAAAGTAACGCAGGATTGTTTTACGTTCTCAGTCACTCAAAAAGGTCGAGCATAAGTGGAAAATTGTCTGGACGTTCAAGCCTTTGGATGAGGTAATGCGTCTGGTCGGAAATGCGACTTGCGATGCTGCTATAGCCTTGACTAAAATAGGGATTGGCTACCGGCTGACTGGAGAATCTGAGGAGAAAATCGAAGTTAAAATGCTCACCTTCAAACAAAGGTATGTATATCATACAATGATGTCAGTTGTCACTGTGACTTAATGGTTCGTAATCATTCAATTCCAGAAATATCACGAAGATTCAATTGATTGCACCCGATTACAAATATATAGCGACCATCAACGATACGGGTGTGATATGTATCTATGATGCTTGGAGCGCTAATCTTGTAAGTTATCAGGAATGGATTTTCTATTAGATGACATAAACTCCTATAAAATAATTGACTCATCCAAAACAGGTAACCATAAAATACATTGTTGGGGACGACATCTCGTTTCAAGCGAGTCCGGTGGAGCCATTGCTAGCCGTGTACGGTGTCATGGGTACCAACTATGGACTCATGTTGGTGGTGTTGGAGGGTGGTGAGACTGAGGAAGTTTTCGAGGCTATTGGCACTGACGAGGCCGATGACGCTGGCGAGGCACCGCGGAAGGTTGTCAGCGAGGCAATGCCAGTTGAGCCGCAGCTGCGCAAAGTTGCCTCAATGTGCCTCACGCATCAAATCGTTTCACTGGTCACATTTTCGCCAACCGGCCGAGAGTTGGTCGCTGCTGCCATGTCAGCTGGACATATTTTTATCATGCAGGTGTGCTTATTAATAAACTTATTTACATCCACTGACGTAAATTGATTACTTTCTTGAGTTCTTCTTATGCCTTGCTATAAAGAACAATTAACAAAGTGTTTTCAACTAATCCAGGTATTATTATAAAGAAATCCAACATTATGATATTATCGAGAAGTTAAGCAATAAATTGTGAGAAAAATATCCACTCTTCCAGCCTTAGAGTCATGAAGGCTGAATGGAAATTTTTAAGTAAAATTTTCTTTCCGTTTACCTATCAATCTGAAATTTTTCATAGATATCTAATGACTACAAACTGACGCTGGTGCGGTACACGGAGCTGGGCCGCGGGCTGGCCGACTGCTTCCTGATGAAGGTCGGCGAAGTCATGCGCTGCTTCAGTCTCGTGATCTTCTCCGACAAGTATGCCATCGGTCAGTTTTCATTAGTTTTACTAATTAAGTATGTTTAGATAAATACTTACTTTAAGTTCAATTATTCGAAAACGGTTAAAACGATTTGGACGGTAGAAACACAAATACTAGTGATTAGCTGTAACTGAAACTTCTTTGGAATCATAGTGTCAAAATATTACCATCATCTCGACTGATCTACGACGTGAAAAGAATAGGCAGCTCATTATGATATACCAGTACAGCAATCCCTACACAGTTTTACAACAGCACTGTGATTTATTCCAGGCGAGCGCATAATTTGTATAAATGCAGAGACAGGAAAGGATAATAAGTTTGCGGGGAAAATGCAAGGGCCGTACGCGCGACTGCTGCCGCTCGCCACACCCGACACCATGCTGGCAGTGCCACACCTGTCCACTAAGTACCACATACTGCTGTTAAAGGGGGAGGTAAGAACACTTCAAACCGCTGCTCATTTAATTTCTTTAATTAAGACAGAAGTACCGGTAGATTATATTATATGTATTATTAGATATTCTATTCCATCAATTTTTATAGTGGCGTCAGTGTTTCATACCATGATTCTTAATTAATATCGTAACCTTTTATCATCAGAATACGAGACATTGGTAGAATGCTGACCTCTTGGTAGGCAAAAGAATTTAATTAAAAGATAAAATTACCTAAACTTTAGTGAAAGTAGGTACCAATCTGTACTTTTTCTCCTCTAATTTGCGCAGAAAGGCATAACGGTCTCAGTGAAGATGGGTCCCATAGTGGAATCCGGTCATCAGCTGAAGCAGTTCAGCGCGTTTTACAACACCGGCGCGCTGCTAACTTTCGGATACGACGGTGCCGTCATAATGCGCAAACCTGACGCTCCTGAGGAGTATGGTGCGTCACGTTTGGTACAGCTTTAAATGCTTACTTTTTACGTCGTATGTGTCTTAAAACATTTAAATACTGGAGAAGCGGAAGTATAAGATACATTTTTTTCTTTACCCAAAACGTAGTTTCAGTAGATACGCTTTACCTATGCCAGCGTGTAATTTATTGTAACTATAATCTTTGTTTGAACTCTTTTGGCCCGTATTATAGAAATATTCTCAGTGATTGATCTAGTCTTGAGCCTAGTTAGAAAGGGATGTCGCTCAAGTAAACATCAGCACTGAGTTTGACATTCTGTAATACGGGCCTATATCTTCATATCTCGAGTAGAAGAACCGAGAGCGGCACACACCGCAGTTTTCCCAAATTACCATAACATTTATTCTTTTTTATTGCGACATAACAAATTAGGATTAAATCGAAAGAAAATATTACTAGAAAAAAAACCACGCGGAACAGGCAGCAGACGGGACTCAAACCCAAACCCTTCGCTATCCGGACGAATGCACTGACCAATTATGCTACCGCGGCCCTGACGGCCTTGCAGTTTTAGAAAGGCTAGAAAGAATTAGACACGGCCGCCTGTTGCCTGGTCCGCGTGATATTTTTTCTAGGAATATTTTCTTTAGATTTAAACATCGAACAGTTACATGCTTAAAAAGAATTATATAAAGTTAAGATTATTTTAGAATTAAAACTGTTGGTGACACATCGCTACGAGAACGGCATAACTCAAGCCGTGATCGACACTGAGAACGAGTACGTGGTACACCTCGGCGGGAACAAGTCGGTGGCATGCGCCTTCCTGCACGGCGGTCACCCGCGCCTCGCATGCGAGCCGCGACACGCGCTGCGCCCGGATCTATTTGACGAGGGCCCGCGCACTATGACCATCATCGGGGCTAACGAGAGTGAGTCACAAACATGGACGTTAACCTCGGCAGTAACAAGACGGTGGCTTGCACCTTCCTGTGCGGCGGGCTCCCGCACCTTGCGTGCAAGCAGCGACACTTGCTGAGCCCCGAGCTATTTGACGAGGGCCCGTGAACTATGACCATCATCGGGGTCAACGAGAGTGAGTCACAATCATAACCACGGACGTAAACCTGGGCGGTAACAAGTCGGTAGCGTGCGCCGCCCTACGGCAACTATCATCGGGGCCAACTGCAGTGAGATAAGTCAGAACCTTCAATAAAGCTGCATCATCCTAAGGTATAATAAAAGGTACTTTTGCTATGATCCTGTTTGGCAGGCGACGTAAAGTCAGCTAATGAGCCATAACCCACCACGCATTACATGGTTATACTTTTATTGCATAATTTATTTTTCTTCCTGAGAGGATGGGAGCAGCAACATTATTGAGTTGATAATCAAATAAAATATTCTTATGAAATTCTTATTTTTATTAAGATTTGTTTCCAGAAAACTATCTCGATCTGCAAGAGGAAAAGAAAGTGCGCGAAGAAGCGATGGATTACAAAAGCGCTCGTGAGGAAGTCCTGCGTTCGTTCGAGAGTGTCCGTAAGCGGCTTGTGCAGTTACTGGAGGAGAACATAGCGGAGCGGCCTCTGCACCAGCTGTCACTATCGGAGTTCAACCTGCACCATGAGCACAGGAAGGAGCGACTCAAGCAGGTGCTTTTTGAATTTCCAATAGGACTTTGGTTGTGTGATAGCAATTGGAAGGCTCTGCAAAAGGGAATGTATGTGCATATTTCTTCTTGAAGTGAAAATTTCTTTTGTATCGTTGTGACTTGAGATTTGATGAAACGGAAGAAGAGTATTCGACACAAGATAGGTATCCGTAATTATCACTTCCTATAAGAGACAGATAGCCGAACGGTAACGGTCTTGGGGTCGACACCAAATCGATCCCGAGTTCGTTTTTCTTAATTGTTTTAATTGTTATTTTTTTCTTTTATTAAGCTATTATTTATTGACGACGTCACGATACACCTAAACCTATAAACAAGACACTGAAATTTTGCGTTGCATACTTTCATTGCTGATGGAAGACATAACCTACGTCAGTCAAAAAGACATTATAAATTTAAATGTATGTACATGTAGAAAAGTTGCATTCGGTGTCTAAGTGAAACGCGGCTTTGCTATCTACGCACTCGCACTATAATTTCGTTGACATTGGTATATCCTGTGAACATGACTTTTGCTATATTTTTACGTCACAACCGCTCTTGTCGCGTTTCAAAATATGGGAATTTCTCAAAGTTCTTTGCATCTTGCATCATTAATTTCTTGTTTTATTTAAGGAGGGTCAATTAAAAAGTAATAAAATTTAAATGAATATAAATTGAGGCTTATCTGAAGTACACTCATATTTTCTATTGTTGGAGGAAAACATATCAGAGCTGCATCTGCACTATTTGTCTGTCTGAGTTCAATCTGCACTATGAATACAGAAAGGAGATACTTAAGCAGGTTCATTTTTTGTTTCCCGAAGAAGATCAGTCACCTTCATCGCCATGAGCCTCTTAATATCCCACTGCTGAGGCACATGCCTTCCTAATGGATGGAATAGGGATATTGGGCTAACGCCTTAAGTGCAAATTGGTTGGTGCTAGCTAACAACTGCAAATGCCCAACCATATGCTTAACGTGCCTTTCTGAGCTAGGGGGAGCTCGTTATAATGCAGTTTTGGCAGTGCCGTCTTTGACCTATTGGAGGCCCTGGGCATATTAGGATAATGGGGCCCCTATGACGTCCGTTTGGTGATATAACAGGAACTAGGGACTTTGTATTTGATCTGAGGGGGCCCCCTATCGATCGCGGGGCCCTGGGTACTTGCCCAAAGTGCCCACTAGGAAAGACGGGTCTGAGTTTTGGTTACCCATCCGATGACCAGCTATTGCGATTTCTTTAATTTCCCCGATCACAGATGGAATGTACTAACTACTTGCATCATCGACCTCTGAGAAGATCAGTCATTTGGAAGTACTTACTTAGTACTAGTATTTTAGCTTGTGCAGCTGCTGGAGAAACTGTTACTCCTAGATTCGCTTCTATTATTATATTAACCACACGTGATTTCTTATGGATTACTTACATTTAATTCGATCAATTGATTAACCACACACGATTTAATTGTGGAATGTCAGGCAGAACGAGAGCGCGAAGAGTTGCGTTTGCAGACTGAATCCCGCATCCGCGCGCAGGACAAAGTGACCGCCTGGATCAAGGCCACATGTTGGGACACCATGCTCACTCCAAGAGTCAAGCTCTATGCAATTTTCAGTCATTACCAGGTACAGACATCAGAGCATACAATACATAGCATGTTCGTTTGCAGGGTACAAAGATATTTACAACCTTTTATATACATGAAAGGAGGGCATTTACTTTTTGAATAAGCTCTCTCACCTTGGAGTAACAATCCTCATTGTCATAACAAGACTGTAAATACGTGGGGCATACTAAAAGTTTCTGAATCTAATCACTTACAACAAAATAATGATAAAACAATTATGGAATAAACATGGTACCTACTTTTTAATTTTCAAGATAGTCACTTGTTTTATATTGATATCAAAATGTATTAACTCGTGCACATTTTCGTTCAATGATTTTTGATGATTTTTGCTGTGGCTCAACAACAGTGTTAAAGAACAGATTTTAATTGGCATTGAGTGATGAAGCACCATGTCGCAGCGCGCTTGCTTGTATTTGTCTTAAAAACATTTGCTCCACTGGGATTCGAACCCTAGAACCCTGACTAGGCGACACCTTGCAAACCGCCGTACAAGTTTATACCACTCACTTAGGTGGAGAACTACCCGGTGTTGCCGGAGCAGCGCGAACAGTGGCCGGAGCTGCAGAGCACGCTGGCGCTACGCGGCGTGGAGATGGAAAACGACCACGACCTGTTCCGGCCCTGGGAGGAGCGTGGAGATCGCACCTCCAAAGACACCAACCATGAGTCGTAATGTTTAATATAGTTGCTCTGATGACCTCTGACATCATAATTACTGTTCGGTTCAGTATGGAATTGCACTGGCGCAGCGAGGCGTGGAGATGGACAACGACCACGACCTGTTCCGGCCCTGGGAGGAGCGTGGGGATTGCACCTCCAAAGACCAACCATGAGTCGTAATGTTTAATATAGTTGCTCTGATGACCTCTGACGTCATAATTACTGTTCGGTTCAGTATCGAATTGCGCTGGCGCTGCGTGGCGTGGAGATGGACAATGACCACGGCCTGTTCCGGCCCTGGGACTCCTCCCAGGGCCGGAACAGGTCGTGGAGATTGCACCTCAAAAGACACCAACCATGAGTCGTAATGTTTAATATAGTTGCTCCGATGACCTCTGACGTCATAATAACTTTTCGGTTCAGTATGGAATTGCGCTGGCGCTGCGTGGCGTGGGGATGCACCACGACCACCACTTGTTCCGCCCCTGTGAGGAGCGTGGAGATCGCACCTACCAAAACGTCAACCATGAGTCTTTATGTTTATTTAATACTAGCTCTCATGAAATTTGACGACGTAATTTGTGTTCGGTGCATACAAAATAGAAATTCTAATGTTTATTTCAATGTGTTATAATGGACGGAATCATGTTTATCTAATGATGTTCCCGTTCTGCTGAGTAAAATATTAACATCGTCAATACTTTTATCCGCCTTATTCTAACGCCTTAAGAATGTGAAAGTCTCTTAAGACGAGAAGCACAAATAATTTATTGAAGTGAAACTTCTTTATAGGCGTTGGAAAAAAATTTACCGTCACATTTTTCGGTTACGCGTCACATTTTTCCGTTACGCGCCATCTTTTTTTATATTAATAGTTGATAGCTGAATGATCACACTGTCGCCGGCGAGAACTCTCTCTACTCGTTTGTAGCTGAGTGACAATAGTTATTGAAGATAAGACTCGCTCAGCCAAACTCGCATAGCGATACTCGCTCAGCGATACTCGCTCAGCGATACTCGCTCAGCGATACTCGCCCAGCGATACTCGCTAGCGATACTCGCTAGCGATACTCGCTCAGCGATTCTCGCTCAGCGATACTCGCTCAGCGATACTAGCTCAGCTATACTCGCTCGGCATGCATTTTAACTCAGGACTGCCAATTCGTTTCTAGTTTCTACTCGCTTATCGTTCATCGTCGGAGGTGGAACATGTGCCTTAGATTACTGAGCCGTGTAATCATAACAGTTTCATAGGCAGTAATTTGTATTCATGTCTATGATGATAAAATCCTTTTGTTTAAACTTTATCTAATTTAACTTTATTTAACCAATTTCTGGAAAGTTGCATGTAGATCATTTTTCGAAAAATAAGGCCATAAAGAAGTTTCACTTCTTACGTGTGTACATTAGTACACGCACACATTTTTTTTACATGGATTAAGGGCCTTAGCTGCGTTAAGCGGCACCACGGAGCGGACGACCGCAAAGCATGCTGCTTTTCATGTCAATTTATAAAACAGCTTTGCGTCGGGAGACCCACCTCACGCAGCGCTGCTTTATGAAATAACATGAAGCTTCACGTGTAGCGGACGTCCGCTCCGCGTTCCTGCTTAAACGCAGCGCACGCCCTGAAAAGGACCTGTTCTTTTATCCCGATATATTCGCTGATGAGTGCTGCTTGATTCACTTAGAACAAAAGCCATCATAGGTAGCATTCGTAGCCAATTAAGCTACAAAAATATCCCGTCACGCAATCTGTTTGTCTTTCGCTGCCAGTCCTGAACTATCGCTATCTTATTCCTTCCTTTGTTAGTTTTTGTCATCATGCTTTGTGAATATAACATTAATTCGGGCAGGCGTATGATGAGCATGGGCGAGTCCAACGTCTCGGTGAGGTCAGCAGTAGTGAGCGCGGGCAGCGCGGGCGCGGTGGCGGTGGCGGTGGCGAGCGCGGACAGCGATCAGCCGCGCGGGCAGCCGCACGTGCTGGCGGGCTCCGACGCGCACCGCTACGTGGATGTGCCCGCCGCCATGCTGCAGCAGATGCTCTCCTACAGCTACCTGCAGATGCGCGGCCTGCAGCACCTGATCAAGGTGATAGACGCGCGCCCAGCCGCACGTGCTGACGGGCTCAGGCGAATCTCTTATCTATTAGACAAGTCCGTCCGTCCGTCTGTCTGTGGTGCTGTTTCAGCGGCCAAACCGTAAGAGATAGATAAAGAGAATATTTAAGTTATAAGTTAAGAATAGTCTGATAAGACTACAAACCGGATTTGAGTAACGTAGCACTTCCGGTTTTCGAGAAATCACGAATTTCAAACGAAACCACACAAAATCTCCGAAGTTCTCAATTAATATATATTTTTTTTAAATCAGGTTTTCGTGAACATTTGGTTCACTGGTTTGTATAGAATAATATAAAGCCTATAAGTAGCTCGATGGCGCAAGTGGTTAGCGCGTTCGGCTGCGATCGATAAACTTAAGTAACTTTCGCAGTGGTTGGTCATTGGATGGGTGACCAAAAATTACTATCTCGAGCTCCTCCGTGCTTCGGAAGGCACGTTAAGCCGTTGGTCCCGGCTGCATCTGCAGTCGTTAGCACCCACCAATTCGCACTGGGCCCGCGCAGTGGGGACATTATTAGGCTGATGATGATAAAGCCCATGCCCATTGCAAATATAATAACTTTATCATTTATTCACCTCTCACTCTCTCGTAAATCAAATTATAGCAATATTAAACAACCCTTCTCATGATTCCTCTTTGATAGAATAATATGAGCCACCGGCATCAGTGGCAGAAGTGCACAGCTTTATCTTCTAGATTTTTATGCTTCCTTAGAAAAATATAAACGGAGTGTAGGAAAATAATTGCTAATACTTAAGCTATATTTTCAGTAATTAAACCTTTTTTAAGCAAGTCTGATAATTTTAGCTGAACGTGCAAAACATGCGGCTATGGTTCAATAAGCAGTTCGACGAGCTTATGAATCAGAAGAAACGCGAAGTTGGCCTCGTGGAGGAGCGGAACAGCAGGCTTAGATTTATAATCGACGGTTTGTTTTTTTATTATTTAAATTAGCTCTGTCAGTACTGCAAATATTACTTAATGGTTTTTATGCTGCCGTCCTCCATCTACATAGACTTGATCACTAGAACAAAATTATAGCAATAATAGTTTGTCACTCGTTCGTAGACGTTTGGAATGATTCGTAGTAATTTTGAAATAAAAATTATGCTAAATCATAATTCTGACAGAATTGAACAAGTTGTCGGACTTGCGTGGCAGTTTCCACCACCTGGTGATAAAAATCCGAGATCCAGAGTGGCGTCAGGAAGAGCAGCCATACAAACTCATCAAAGTTGATCCAGAGGAGGTAACACCCAAAGCCACAATTATTCCAAAATAAATATCTAATCGACTATATCATCTCACATGATTAATAAGTGTAAGTATATTCCACTTGCGAAGACGCTGTGTGCATGCGGCAGAGATACTTTCGAAGTACGCGCATCAATGTTTTATTTGCATTGTGTAACTGATATTGTATTGCTCACTACAGGAATAAAACAGTTGAGTGTTGATTTTTTGGCACATCCTATTGCAATAGAAAGGGTTTGGGGATGGGGTTAGGGCAAGGCAGGTAACGCGCGTCTTCGCAAGCGACTAAAAGCAATGGCAGCCGCGTACACAAGGATGTTCATATGCTAGTTTACCACGGTTTTTATTTAAAAAAATATCTGACGTATACTATTTCTCAGTGAATGTTCGCGCGTTAAAAATCCGACATTAGAGCTTTTCGAGCTTTCTCGTCTAGTTATTTTTAATTTTACGCCCCAAGGCCCTAAGTCAAATTGCAACCCACTGCCCATATGATAAAAAATACCCTGAGTTAGATATAGCTCGCGTGCTGAAAATGAAAAGACTATCCGAAGTCGAGCGGTGGTGTGAATGAGCTTAATGAGAGAAATAGAAGTTTATTAATTACTTATGGTCAAGCTTATAATGGATTTTGGCCAACAGTGTAGCATTGCGCCGTACATAAGCCCGAGTCAGATAGTGATCGTGCCGCCGGACGCTGGGCCCAAGGACGACTTCCGCGAGCGCGCGCTCATGGACATGATGGATGGCGTGCTCGAGAAGCTGTGGCACGAGGAGATCAAGAAACCGATACCGCCACCGCAGTGTATGGTCTGTATTATCTAGAATACTGTTAGCAAAGAGGTTATTATAAGACGTGGTGTGTCCTGAGTTTCCTTAATGCTTAAATATGTTTTTCGTTCTCCCTGCAGTCAGATAACTAAGTTAGTAAGTTAAATAGAATTATGATCAATAATGTGTGGCAACATAGTTTTGGTAGTTTAGGACATCACAAAGTGTAATATTAAATTGTTTGGAAGTGGTATTTTAAGTGTGACAAGTTTTTTTTATGCCTAGCTCTGATTTGAGCGTTTCCATCCCGATGGTCTTGCTAGCAGCTTTATTCTCTATACGTAAGAACACCAAGTTACTATGGAATTACAGCTTGAAAAAGACCCAGAGCATTTCAATGAGGACGACTTGCGGCTGGTATTCGAATATGAGGCTAAGGTGCAATTCAGAAACGAGGAGCGGGACAAGTATCGCAAGATGTTGCACGCTGAATACGCTAAGCTGTCACAGGTCCTCAACGAGGGAGTGGTCAAGTTCAACCAGAAGGTAAAACGCGAAAGAATAAAAGTTACGTTACATTAAGTTACATCAACAGTTCATTACATTACATATTATTAAACTGCTGGCTATAACTGCATTTCTGGGTGAAATAGAAAACTTTTAATTATCATCTAAATTATAAAAGCAATATTCTATAACAAACTAATTGTCAGTTAAATAAATAACAGTATAAAATAAATGTCTACTTGTTTAAAACTAATTCAAAGATATATTCTTTAAGTGGATGACATGTTTTAGGTAAAAGAAATGTGGCTAAACAAATTGCAAGTGGACTCCGTTATCGGTCAAGAGAATTTGATTCTGATGCGCCTACGTCGCACTAATCTAGACCGGTTAGAAATGGCTGAAAAACTTGAAGATATGAGGTAAAATTCTCATTTGATTACGATACAATACCTTTGACTGAGACACGGGGGGCTAATTTTCATCCCATCCCCCCTAAAATTAATTAATCAAATCTAAAAACAGGTCAGTAACGAATGCCTTTATATGACTTCTGGCCCTTGCAACTCTTGCAGCCGTCCTTCGCTCTGAACTATGGCCATTTTGGCCTTCACTCATGCATAATTATGTAATTCCTTCCTTCCTTCTTTATCATATCTAGAGCTGAGATCGCCAAGTACGAGCGAGAATCGGAGAAACTCAACCAGGAGCTGCAAGAAATCCAAGGTCAGAGTGAAGAATGCCAGGCCAACTACGACGCGCTGGCCGCCAAGGATCGCCTGATGGAACGCACCTTCAAGAATCACTTCGCAGATCTTTCACCCATCATCGTCGATCAGTGCTACAAGTTCTTTAAGTAGGTTATGAAAAACCCTCATTACTTATTGGTTTAAATTTAACTTGTTCAGATAATACTAAAATTGTGTAATTTTGAGTTACTTGGTCTTACCGTATTCCTAATCTATTCCTTATTACTAAATGCTTAGAGCATGCTCTTAAGACTAAGGTAAGATGAAATGAGTTATATTTCTGTTCTGAATCTCTCGGAAGTTATGGAGATAAAACATTACATCGATTCTTTCAGAAAACGTCCAAAGTGGCATCAGCGTGCGACGGTAACAGCAGCCGCGCTGCATGAACTCGCTTCCAGCATCTTGGCTGGACAGCGCGCGTTGAATATGCACCCAGACTGTGTAGAATACTACAAAAGGTATCTAGATCAAACTCAAATTCATTTAATCAGAATTTAACAAGAATTTCTAAAAACTACACCATCGATTTGCGAGTCTACTGAAGACCTTGTACTAAAATGAACCGGCACGAAACTCAACAAGGGTTGCTTAATGACCTACCTTCCAAGCCAAAAAAGAAACGGACGTCTTCAATGTTTTAACGGTGATGAAATGTTTAATCTTTGTTTTTCTTAGCGTTGATCAATTGGATCTTATCAGCAACATGCCGCCAGTAATGGACGAAGCGCTCTGGGCTACTATGTGTCGTTTACGCCGTGCCAAAATAGAAAACGAAATACGCGTGAGTAAAGTTACTTAATATCTAAAAGACAACAGTTCATGATTTATACAAATCTTTCTCGGTTTATTTAGATAGTCATAACGTTTACTTTGGTACCTAATTTATTGAGAATGTGTGGACATTGGAGAAAAGTAAAACACTTATTGAACGGGTACGAAGCTTATTAGTTTTTCTTTATTTTTGACGTTTCGGGCCTTTTACAGGTTTCGTGGTCTTATGATACCTGAAAAGAAAACAGCAGGTGGCTTATACCCGTTCAAATTGTGTTTTATATGATTGGTGTGTTTGTAAGACCCAATCATCATAGTAGAAACCGAATTGTATCGAGACTGAGGATTTTCGATTTCTCCGAAGTCTGTAATTGCTCTCGTAGATGCGAGCCTTAGTGCAGGAGATGGCGTATGTGGACAGCACGTGCGCGGGTTGGAACAAGGCCGTGCAGGCGCGCCGTCAGCAGCTCGCCGTCACGCAGGACCGGATCCTGAGACACCGGGAGGCCGTGGAGCTCAATTCCCGCAATAAAACCATACAGGTGCCTTGCAGCCTAAGAAATACTAAGGTCGCGGTAGCATAATTAATCAGTGCATCCGCCCGGATAGCGGAAGGTGTGAGTTCGAGTCCCGTCCACAGCTTGGACCGCGTCGATTTTTTTCTAGTAAAATTTCCTTTACATTTAAACATCTAGCAGTTAATTTCTTAAAAAAATAATAAACCATTTATTGAGGTGGATGAGTTGAGCTACCACGAGAGTGCTTATTTGTACTCCGATGAGATATGTAATGGTGTTTTTAACCATAGTTTTGTGTAAATATAAATTTGCGTGAATATTCTCTTTATTTACAAGAATTGGCAATTTGGGAGGAGTATTGCACTCTTTCTTAGTGAAACCTTACAATTAACAAATACGATAAAGAAGTAGGTGTACAAAATAATTCAATTCATTAATACCTATGTATTTAATTTATGTAAAGTAAATGAATTTGTGGTGCGGCAGTTAGTTCTACCAGCTGGCCAGGTGGAGATTCTCACGAGTGGTCACATGGAAGACTTTGAAGACGCCACTCTCATCCCACGAGAAGAGATCCAGAAAATCAACAACCTTATTTTGGTATAAATTTGCACTATATTAAAGTAGTTGCAGTCAAAATATCTATTGGGTACCTCGTCAAGTTTATTTTTTATCAACAGAAAGTTGGTGAAATGAAACTACGAATGATGCGAAAGCAGATGGACTTCCGTAAAGGTATCCTATCAAAAGAATGGGAGCACGCACAGATGAAGATGAAACTGCGACACATGCAGGAGGAACTGAGCTCATACCAGCGGCTTAAGGTCCTACTTCGTTCTTTGTTGATAAAACAGCCTTGTACGCTATTTGAAAAAAAATGCCAATGTGATACAGGTCGCTTAATACAGGCACCTAAGCATGCGCAACAATTTTACATTCCTATAAAAACGTCTACTGCCCGAGGTCAGAGTTTTAATTTAGCTCAAACTATTCAAAACAGCTATTCAAAATAAAAATCAGAGGCCGTATTATCAACTGTTAACACCAGGCAAGTTCCATTGTTCGAGTGAGACATCACATACGCACAATAGAGCGACATCCCACTTCAACCGCTGTTTTTGCCTGGCGTTAAGCGTTTATAATTCGGCCCCAGGACAGCGAAGTTGGTCCTAGAGAAGGTACCTGCAACAAAACATCGTTTAGCTTTAAGCGTGATAGTTTATGGATTGGTCAATGATTTGGTAAACAAAATAGAAATATTATATAAGATAAAAATTAAATATCTTCACCACCAGATTCCAAAAGAACTGCAACTCTATCTGAAGAATAAGGAAATGGGGTACACGGATGAAATGGATTACGTACGTCTGGAAAAGGAGATGGAGTCCACCAAGGTGTCCGTCAACAAAGTGCTCACCGAACAAATACGTAGAGTGGAAGAACTGGAGGTTAGTTCAACAAAAGATCGACCAAAATTTTATAATTCGTATCTGGCATGATTAATGGAAGAGCTTTTTTTACTGCGGTTTTGGTGTTGCACCAAACGATCTTCAAAATGGTAGTGGTAGTTATCTCGCTAAAGGGCTTGGATTTTAATTGTGCTGGAGGCATTTATTTGTGCGATGAGCACAAAGTACTATCTTATTACCTATTTGTTCCCGAATGCCGAGTCATGTATTTTGCAATAAAAAAACTTAAGTATTTACTACGATATTCTAAAGAATACGCACATCGCACATCAAACACTTATTCTGCTGTATGAGTATATATAGATGTTGTTGGGTAGGTGAAAGTGAACGCAGCGACGTCGAAGACAGCGGAGCTCGAGAAGCTGATCACGTCGCTGAATGTGAAGGTGTCGGAAAAGCGTCTCAACGAGGACCCACTCGAGCCGATACGTGTCAGACGCGTCTTCAAACGCAGGTAATTAATGCCCAGATTGCAGTTTCAAGAAGAGTTCTAGCACTTTCTTTCAAAGGGATATAAAATTTGCCTGACGAATGAAGAGCATATTTATTATCATATCATTATTATCAAATATATGCTTTAAAGATCTTTAATATTCATAATTATACTTTACATAAATATACACTTAATATAAATAATTTTTTGCAGCTTTCGGTCATGCTATTGTTCGTAGTTACATAATTTTCTTTTCATATTACAGTAAATAGATGTGAAAAAATAGAGTTCTCTCCATAAAGCAAAGCTACAAACGTTCAACTTTTAAAGGGAAACTTTCTCGACGACCTCCGTGGCCGAGTTGTTTGTACGACATGGTGTCACCGACTCAAGAGGGGTTCGAATCCCGGTGGGGCCAGATGTTTGTGTGATGAATACGAGCATTTGTACTCCAGTCATGTGTACTTATATATGTACAGTATATGTATTCTATCCGTTACCCTAGTATCCCATAACACAAACCTTATAGTGCTTACTTTGGGGCTAGGCTAGGTATGAGTGTTGGAAATATTTATTTTATTTATTATTTATTATTCTGGGAATAATAAATAATAAATAGGAGGAGCTTGATAGCGCCAGAGGTTAGCGCGTTCGGCTGCGGTCGTTAAAGTTGAGCAACTTTCGCAGTGGTCGGTCATTGGATGGGTGACCAAAAATTTACTATCTCGAGCTCCTCCGTGCTTCGGAAGGTACGTTAAGCCGTTGGTCCCGGCTGCATCTGCAGTCGTTAGCACCCACCAACCCACACTGGGCCCGCGTGGTGGGTCACGGCCCAATCTCCCTAACCCATCCATAGGGAAGGCCTGTGCCCCAGCAGTGTGGACATTAATAGGCTGATGATGATTCCCAGAATGGAGACGCTGGTGATGCGCAGTCGGCTGATCCGCGAGGTGCAGGCCAACCACACCACCGTGGTGCTGCTGCAGACGGAGCTCGAGCTGCTGCGCCTGCGCACATACCCTACGCTCGCCAGCTTCCGCACGCTGGCCGACTAGTCTGTATTATAGCACAGTGGGACCAAGATCTTCCGCACGCTGGCCGACTAGTCTGTATTATAGCACAGTGGGACCAAGATCTTGTGGCCATTAGATGATATTGGCGCTGCTGGTGAATAAGTGGTGTAATCAGGATTACTATGAACGTAAAATTTGCTAACTAAAGGGAACGTTATAATAGGGCAGCTATACTCTAAGTGTGTTCCGCGGAACCCTAGGGTTCCGTGATACCTCTGTCGGGGTTCCGCAAGAATTTAGAAATAAAAAAATCAAAACACCTCTCTCTGGTCGCTCCGCGGCTGTGCGGACTCCGCGGCCGCGCGGAGACAAAACGCTATGAATGTTATTTATTTATTTATTTGTATTTGTATAAGCTTGTGTTACATTAGCTGGTACAATATCTCATAAGTTTGGTCTCAACAATTTTATACTTGTACAACGCGTTCGCTCTAAGTTTGCCGGTCTGTGGAATGCGCGTACCCTCCCCCACGTGACAACAAAACTTATAATGTGTCATAGTTTTACCCAAATATCTAACGTACACAATTTTTATTGTTACAATTAAATAAAAAATTTCGAACGTCATACACTCATACCTATCGCCAGCGGCAAACTTAAAACGAGCGGGTAGTATACTTGTAAGCGCTCAGTCTCTTTGATAAAAGCCGCCTCTGAATTAGACGCTATAGTTGTCAACTAGCGACTTTCGTCTCTAACTTCAAAGGATAAAGTCGATATTGTTTACAACGCTATTTTTAAATTTCTGTTTTTATTTTTGCTTTTTGTTTATCAAAGGTGCCGACTCGAGTATTTTCGAGAATATTTGAGATCGAGTCTAGGACTAAGTATAAAAGCGGCGATCGCGCGTTGGCGTCGTCAGTTGATGATTAGCGTTCGGAGCGATAAGTTACTACCTACTTACAAGCTCGCTAGCGAGAAACTGGTGTTCATTGTTTTACTGCCTGCTGTATTCTGTTGTCTCAGTTTTATACATTTCTTCCCTGTAGGTTCTAAATTTAGTCTCTTATACGCAGTAACGATTGTGCATTATTTAAACCCCACTATCCTGACTTGTAACATTATAAATAAAGAAGAATGGAACGTTGGCTTAAAGGTGTTAAACGTGTTCCAACAACATCTTCTAATGACGCTGAATGTTCAAAAGCAATGCGCGCGGAGAATTTAGCAATCACCGATCCAGAAGATGATGCCACGAGTGCCACGACGTCAAGCTCGACGGTTTCAAAGACGAAAAAAAGGAAGTATGATGAATCTTATATCAGTTTCGGATTTGTTGATTCCAACGGCTCACCTCTCTGCATGCTCTGTAGTAAACTGCTTCCTAATAGTTCCATGGCACCTGCCAAATTGCGTCGACATTTAGAAACCGTACACCCCGAGACTAAAGACAAGAATAAAGATTTTTTTGTTCGCAAAAAAGATCAGTTATTAGAAAGTCAAAAAAATATGATGCATGTAACACAAACTACCAACGAAAAGGCCACGGAGGCATCATACTTAGTTAGCTATCGCATTGCACAAGCAGGTGAAGCGCACACTATCGCTGAGAAATTAATAAAACCATGTGTATTAGACATAACAAAATGTATGCTTGATGAAAAATCTGCAAAGCATCTTTCTACTGTTCCGCTATCAAACGATACTGTTTCACGACGAATCCATGATCTGGCAAGCTACGTCAAACAAGAACTAGTTACACGTCTACAAAATACACGATTCGCTTTGCAAATGGACGAGTCGACTGATGTCGCTGGTTTGGCTATCCTGCTGGTTATTGTGAGATATCCATATAAAAGTTCTTTTGAAGAAGACATGCTTATGTGTTCATCGCTGCTTACAAACACTACCGGGGAAGAAATTTTTAATAAAATAAATATATTTTTTGAAGAACATAATCTCAGTTGGAACAATTGCATTGACATTTGTACAGATGGGGCCAAGGCGATGACAGGTAAAACAGCAGGAGCAGTGTCACGAATGAAAAATAAAGCGCCTAATTGTAGTTCCAGTCATTGTATTCTGCATAGACAAGCACTTGCGATGAAGCAAATGCCGTCTAATCTAAAATTAGTTATGGATGAAGCGGTAAAAATAATTAATTTTATCAAATCACGACCACTACAATCCCGATTGTTCTCATTATTGTGTGAAGATTATGGCAGCAAACATAAAACACTGCTGCTCCATACAGAAGTGCGATGGCTGTCTCGGGGAAAAACTTTAACAAGGCTATTTGAACTTAGAGCCGAGTTACAAATGTTTCTTTCAGCAGATACTTCTTTTAATTTGAAGGACCGTTTGTATGATAAAACTTGGTTGTTCCGATTGTCTTTTATGGCGGATATCTTTCAAAAACTTAACGAATTAAATTTATCATTGCAAGGTAAACAGACAACAGTGTTTCAGGCCTATAATAAAATAACTACTTTTAAAAGAAAATTAGATTTTTGGATCATTTGCATTGGTAAGAAAGAAATAGAAAGTTTTACGTTACTCACTGAGTTTGTTAGCGAAAACGACTCAGAAATGTTTGAAGATAATGTGTTTGAAGAATTGGTCCAATATCTCAGTTCGATGCGCGCATCTTTTGAAAAGTATTTTCCCGAAGAACACAATACAAAAATTAAAGTGAACTCCTGGATTCATAATCCTTTTTTACCCAACTTGGAAAAGCCTGAAAACATGTCAAATGAGATATATGAATCTCTTTTAGAAATGTCATCAGACACAAGTATGGAGTCATTGTTCAAAACGACGCCTCTTAATGATTTTTGGTGCAGAATCCAAGATGAATATGCAATGCTTGGCCAAATGGCTCTGGATATTCTTCTCCCGTTCCCAACTACATATTTGTGCGAAACAGGATTCTCTACCTACGCAGCCACGAAAACAAAATATCGCAATAGACTGGACGCCGAAGCTGATATGAGACTCCAACTTTCTTCCATCAAACCTGATATCAAGCAATTGATGAAAAATAAAAAACAGTTTCATACCTCCCACTAGTTAGATTTTTTCTTTTTTAATGTTTTCTATTATTGTCCTTACCAAGTGGTGAAGTAAATAATAATTAGTAACGGATACATTGTACTTTTATTATGCTGATTAATATAGAATACACTTATAAAAATAATTGTTTTATTGTAGGGTTCCATCAAGTATTTTGCTTCCCAAAAGGGTTCCGTCATTTAAAAAGTTTGAGAACCACTGTAATAGGGTATTTGACAAGTTTTAGAAAACGATCTCACGTTATCTACAAATGTTTATAGAGTCCATAAAAAGATATTCATCATTATGTTGTGTATTTCGGAATAAAAAAAAACAAATTAAAACTCTATTTTCAAGTTGCCGCGAAAAACGTATCTCTGGACAATATGGCGTCTCACTGGTGTGTGACGTCACACGACTGTCATTAAAACGTCAAACCATACCATCAAATGTCACTTTAACCGGAAGTTTACTTGTGTGTGCCGTCATTTTAGGCTCCACCAATCCCAAGCATTTTGGGTCACGTGACAATAGACAAGAAAACTATTATCTTTGGGTTTTTAGTAAAATTATGAATATTTTTTCTGTAAAAATAATAAAAACTCTTGCCAATATTCATTCTATATACAGATGGCACTTTATTTTCAATACTGTCAAATACCTTATTTATAATAACTAAAAAAGTAATAAAAAATAAAAATGGCTTAAAATTAGTTAGGTATAATTTTTATTTTTTAAGCATGTAGCTGCTCGATGTTTAAATCTACAGAATATATTACTAGAAAACATTCCATGCGTACCAGGCAGCAGACGAGACTCGAACAACATCGAGCAGTTACTTGCTTAAAAAAAATTATAACTATAATTGCTATTTCTTCTTTCAAATGTTGAATACTTGTAAAAGTATTCATTTGAAATTGTGGGTTACCTACAATGCAAAGAAATGGCGCTGCCTTGGAGCTTAAGAAAGACTAGAAAGAATTCGACAGCCATCAAGGCAGCGGTAGCCTAATGGGCAGTGCATTCGCCCGGATAGCGAAGGGTGCAGGTTTGAGTCCCGTCTGCTGCCTGGTACGCGTAGAATTTTTTTCTAGTAATATTTTCTTTAGGTTCTAAAAATTAGTTCCGATTTCGGCTACGCGTCACAGGATCTCGGTTGCACTCTATTTACCTTATTATGAACTCTCGGACAAAAGTCCACCATCTCGGTATAAAAGTTTTCTATTAATATTTTTAGGAGGCTGAAGAAAATAAACTACATTTCTAAATCTATTGTACATTGGTCACACTCAAATGTCTTTAATAAAATATGTACAGTCAGCTACACAAGTGGTTGAAGGCCATCCAAAACCAGAAAAAATATTGGATTTTAGCTTTATTTTCCATGACTCACTCACGACTTAATCATCGTATTGACTGAAAAAGATAATAATTACTTAAGCAGCTAGCCTAGCTTATAAGTTACAAAAGTAACTTTTTCGTTATAATTTTCTACTACAGATCGATTTTAATTACTTACCTAGTTTGAATTGTGTTTTAAAGTTTGAATTGTGTTTGTGGGCTAAATATTAATGTTTTAAAATTATATAGGAACCCTAATGGCTCAATTACACTTGGCCGTTAGCCCGTATTCGGCTGCACGAAAGACATTACTCGAATTCGGGCACACCCGAAGCAATATTTACACTGGAATACGGGCTGGCAGACAGTGTCGGGTAACCAAAACGAAAACTACTCGACTCCGTTCATTTACACTTAGTCTTTTACCCGAATTCCATTAGCAATCGTATTCGGGATAACGACCAAGTGTAATTGAGCCATCAATAACAATGTATTAGGTATAGTTCATAGGTAAATGTTTAGTCTCGCTATGTAGCGACACCAATCATTTATCTATGGTGTGGTGTAGTTATTAAAAATATTTCGTAAGATATTATTTTAGTTCGTTCACTGCCAACGTTTACTTTTAGTCTTATTCTTAGTTTTTAGTATTATGTTTACGAGAACTAAATTCACGTTTAGATTAATTGCAGATAGTGAATAATAACTAATGTTGTTTAAATAAAACAATGTTAATGAATTCGATTATAAAACGTTTACTTGTCATAAACAAATTGTAGTTTTAATCATTCTGTAAAACACAGTTACGAATACATAATTCTTTGAAAAATTGCTACCGCTACTAGGGGACCTCATATCATGTAAGTACGTATTCGTAATAAGTGCCGCTCTACAAAGCATGGTTGTTGAAATTTTATTTTTCCTGGCAAAAGATATTGCCTATTAGAAGTTAGACAAAATTGAATGAATCTACAGATTAACAAGGCTGACTTGATTCACTTTTAATTTTGTATCAAATGGATAGCAATAAAAAATTATATAAAATCTTTATCAACTGACAAATGAGTGAAATAATCATAACTTAAAATTACAATAGAATATAAAGATACAGTCACGTACATTATTCACACAACACTGGACAACTTATCGTAATTAATTATGTAACATCAAAAATTTCCCTACAAATCCTTATTACATATCCATTACATATAATACATTCGCATGTATTTCACCATCTTATCAGTCATTCATTATCAACTTACTAAGTATGAAACATTATTATGAATATCGCCGATCTATCAATCAACAATTAATATTTTTAACATTATACATATATTAACATGAGCATTAACTACTTAAATAGACAAACACGTTCACGTCCTCACCAAATATTTAATCTAATTACCATAAAAATACACGTGATAAAATACAGCTGTACGCGACTGTACCTAATTTTTTCTTTAAATTTAGGCCACCATTTCGTTTTTAAAGTATATCACACAATTTCATAATCACATTTTGCCAATATTAACGTCACAGAAAGTTTCTTTTTATAAATGGACAAGATACCTTATTTACTAAGTTTATTGAAATAAATTGTCGAACTACCTGATTTATCTCTGCAGCATAATTTAAAGCAACTTTTATTTTGTGATATGCATTTAGGTAGGCTTTTATAAATTTTATATAAATCAATGTCAAATCAAGTATCTTTCACTTAAGAGACAGGGAGATATAGATGTTATTAGTGCACCCATTCCCATCTTGGTTGTGACAAGGAAATAACAATAAAGCACTGAAAAAGACGCCTAGGTTTCTGAAGTCACCTTATCCATGCCTTCCACTGTTAGTGAAACAAAGCGTGGTGTACCTTTAAATATACATAGGATTGTCTGAGGAGCTCAATAGCGCAAGTGGTTAGCGCGTTCGGCTGCGGTCGTTGAAGTTAAGCAACTTTCGCAGTGGTCGGTCATTGGATGGGTGACCAAAAATTTACTATCTCGAGCTCCTCCGTGCTTCGGAAGGCACGTTAAGCCGTTGGTCCCGGCTGCATCTGCAGTCGTTAGCACCCACCAATCCGCACTGGGCCCGCGTGGTGGGTCATGGCCCAATCTCCCTATTCCATCCATAGGGAAGGCCTGTGCCCCAGCAGTGGGGACATTAATAGGCTGATGATGAGGATTGCCTTGTGACAAGGCAAACTCGCGAAAGAGCTGGGCGGCCCTGGTCATCAAGAATCTATTCAAGCTGGAAGGTCAGGAAACGGTGATCAGTGGCGTCATCGCTGTCAAATGCCAAGATTTACTTTCGGTAGCTGAGCCAGCGGAGTAAGTATCAGCTAAGCATAAAAAGTGTATTAAAATCGATGGCTAGGGTACTCTACTGATGTGCCCGCGTTTGGAAGTCAAGATATACTTTCGGGACTCTCCAACTCGTGTGATTGCAATTTACCGCTTGTAGATACTATTTAGCTTAACTGATCGACCAAGTACATGGATAATGCTGGTGCTGCCAGTGGTTTAGGATTTGATACATTTTAACTTGCAGAGTTGAGAAAAACCGACAATGAAATATAGAGAATCGTATGAGCCTCACTAGTAGTATCAAATGCTATTTGTCTATTGTGATTGCCACATTGTAAGAGTGTGTTTAAAGGGCAGTACGTTGGTCGTACACGATGACGGCGTCGGCGTCGAAGAACTGGCTGTGAGACTTGCTCAGCGCGATGATGGCGGCGTGCTCGCTGCGCATGCGGTTCTTATACTTCTTGCTTAGATTTACCTGGTAAAGCACTTCATATGAGACATGTACTTTATCTATGTACATATAAGACTATGAAACTATGACTATGACTTGAGACAGCCTGTTCACACATGCATACATTTTGTATCGGATTCAACTTTTCAATAGCCATTGTGCAAGTTAAAATAATTGGTCCTTCGAGCCGAAAAATGTTGATATGAAAGTGATTTTCTGATATATAAATAAGATGATAATGATAATAATACCTTAGCGTATAGCTGTTGTAAATCGTCTTCCGTAGATAGTGGTCGGGGCTTAGGCCGAAGGAAAGCAGGCAGAGATCGAGTTTTCAGTGCATCGATGTTCGCCGCATTATCAATTTCGTCGAGCACTAAAAATATCAGAGTTTTGCAAGATTTTTCAATTTATACATAATGCTGTAACAGTATAGTGTTTTCGATGATGATAAGAGTATTTTCTATACTATAAGTATCAAAAATTGCTATAAAATACAATGGATCTAGTTGCTTTCCCGTGCTAAACCCGAAAGTTTATTACATGTTAGTAAAACTGCGTGTACATAAACACAAACAATCTACTACAGGGATTCGGACCCAGCGCCTCAAAAGTAGGCGGCACCTAGAAAACCGATCACCATATAGGCCTTCAAAATAATGAATTATTCAGTTAGAATAGTATGATTGCACTGACTTGTATGTGACCCACATAGCGGCATTCAATCAATCAATCAACAGCCTATGTTAGTCCACTGCTGGACATAGGCCTTTGCAATTGCACGCTACTGAGATCGATCTTGGGCTACTAGCATCCAGCTCTGCCAGCCACATAGCGGCATTATCGGGACATAGCTTAGGTCGACAATCTCTTATCTATTAGACAAGTCCGTCCGTCTGTCTGTCTGTGGCCAAACCGTAAGAGATAGATAAAGAGAATATTTAAGTTATAAGTTAAGAATAGTCTGATAAGACTACAAACCGGATTTGAGTAACGTAGCACTTCCGGTTTTCGAGAAATCATGAATTTCAAACGAAACCACACAAAATCTCCGAAGTTCTCAATTAATTATATACATTTTTTTTTAAATCAGGTTTTGGTGAACATTTGGTTCACTGGTTTGCTACTTATTATTAAGATGCTTGGGTACTGACTGGTACTGGAGGCGTAGGGCGGGGCGGCGTCACGAGTTGGGGCGGGCGCGGGCGCGGGGGCTGGCGGCGGGCGGGCGCGGCGCCACTCGTCGCCCGCGTAGCTGGCCGGCCGCCCGTGCCGCGACACCTGCACCTGGACGAATCGACGTTTTTACTCTACTTACCACCTTTTTTTTGAAGTGAAACTTCTGAAGACAGCTTGACTTGGGGGGTAAAACAGAATGCGTTAATCGTTACGATTAGTGTCACCGGCAAGGGCGGATCCAGCTTTGGCGCCAGGGGGGGGGGGGGGGGGGTGTCATATAGTCGTGGTCAAGTTACAGTGGGTAAAGATACGTAAAGTGGGTACAGCTGGACTCAGCCCAGGGGGGGTCATGACCCCATGACACCTCCCCTGGATCCGCCCTTGGTCACCGCTAACTTATTGGTGAACAATGAACAATACCCGTCACAAAATACATGAATCTAGTACTAACTTACATGTTTACTTGATGTTAACTATTGAAATAGGTTTTTTAATTGATTACACGACGTATTTTATCAATAATCAATAACAATTTAGTATTTTACTATTATTTGTACGCCATTGAAATCCGCCGTTTGTTTATTTTTTTCTATCAACAAATCTTCAAATTAAGAAATTTGACTTTTTTGTTTATCAATGAAAACATAAAATAAAAAATATTTGTAGAAAATTAATTTATGCGTATGTACATACATATATAAATTGTAAACGCATATACATAATAAATACAGATGGAGCTAAAGAAGTTTCACTTTAGTCGTGTGGTCATAAGCACACTCACTTTTTTCTGTCTGGGAAATGCCTAACGCATCCTTCAACCATCGGGGGACCGAGAAGAAGGTATGTGGGACTCCTCCCAGCTCACTTCATCCAGCCCTTGGGCCGGATGAAGTGAACAGGGCCCTACCTAATGCCCTGAACAGGGCCACTAAAAACCAGACAATGCTCCTACACCGTTCGCCCGACACGCATTCTGAAGATCGAGATCCCCCCAATGCGCATCGGGAGTACGGGCTTGTTCGTGGAACCCGATTTTCAACTAGCCACTCCAAGGTGTTTATCCGTAAACGGACCCACCCCGATGACGATGCCCCGGAGCATTAGGGGCAACTCTACTTGCTACATACGGCCTCACTCAAACACATTTATGCACTCTAGCAAACGCTTTGAGTACACAACACAGAAAATATTATTTTTTTGAGTGTATATGCTGTTGGTCGCAGATGACCAGCGTCGCCGGGTTTCGAGACGGCGAGATCCTAAGGGCGTATTCAAGGCGGATGACTCTTCTCCGTTTGAGCCTCTAGACCACTCCGAACCTGAGGGGGTCGGCTCAACTCGGCTCTAATTAACCGTTGTCGTGGGACACAGAAGACAGAAATTTTGTGGACCACAATCTGCAAGCAACTCTACCTGTGGGCAGAGTATACGTTATTACTTTCTCTACGATGCTTCGCACATGAGCACAGCGATCATAGAAGGCACTGAGCGCCACTCGCCATCAGCGAACTTTGCCAGAACATTAATATTTTGCGTTACTTTCGGGGGTTGTAAACCATGGCGTTGCTTTTTACTACACAATGTTACTTTTTATACTGTCATGTGTTACTTTTGGTTATCGGGTCCTGGCCGCAGTGCTCGCCACCATTTAATTTTGACCGCTTACTAGAGTACGTTAGGATAATTATTGCACACAGTCGCTACAGGGATAGATATTTTGCGTCTTTGTTACAGATCTGCCCTAAGAATCGCGTAGGGGTAACGGACCCTACCCATAATGAGCACCCTTCGTAGCGTATGCGAATTTTTTCGCGAGTGTAATCATCGCTCAGCTGGAGAGAGCAGATAAGTTATTTGTTTGATTCAAAGGCTCGAAATATATTTAGATAATCAAGTATGTTTCATTATTTTTTGTTATTAATTAATACTTACCTCTGCATGTTTTATTTTATAATTTTCTTGACTGGCGTATGCATGGTTCTCTTTGATAGCATAAGTTTCTTTTAAGTATTGTTCGTCTGAAAATAAAAAATATTTTTGGTAGGTTATTATTTAAGAATAGGTATTTTAAGGATCAAATTATAGTTGAAAGAATTTTCTTACCGAAAGATTTCTGATGACGCGGCATTAGGCGACAGTAACATATAATAATGAGCAAAATAAACACTCCACAAATCCCACCGATGAGCCAAGACAACCAAACAATTATAACGCGACCCTAAAACATAAATGCTTTTGGCATAAAAAGTTATATTTCAATTATTGCATCGATTTTATTTAAATAATATCTCACCTGTAGAAACATTTCAATTCCTAAAACAAATGCGGGAATCGCTTCGTTCTGTTTTCATAAAATGTTTTCCTAACATTTTATCTTTTGAAAATGACAATTTCTACTTAAATTACTACAATATTATTAACTATAAATAAACCTAAAGTTAAATAACTAGACTAGAATAATTTGTGCGCAGCCATTGTTACTTCTTGCTTTTTAAAATAAAGCGCGCTTGCGCGAATTTCATAGAACGTTCAGAAATTACGGTTTATCTGACAGTATACCTTTACCATCATCATTGGATGAACTTAATTTTTGTCAATTTCTCAAAAAGAAACAAAAAATATATTTGTCGTACCTATGTAAAATTAATAACGTTTGGATTACTAAAAAAATGTAGTTTAAACAAGAAAAAATACCAATCAATTATTATGTATCATCATGACATTAAAAACTCGACTCAGACGCTGGAAAAAGTGTTCCTGAACAAAGACAAGTGGATTGCCATTTGAAAATAATTACTTTCAAATTGTCAGTGTAAACTGTCAATCAATGTCAACAAATCGAATTCTAAAGAAACCTCTGGTAAAACTCCATCCTACCATTTGCCAGTAATACAGATTGAAGAAAATGACAATTTCATCAATACAAGTATAGACGTAGCCGCTATTTACTTGTTATCAAACGCATGTGTTTGTCTCAACAACGAACGGGAACGGGAGACAAACATCGTACGATATCGACGTCATTGTGGTATTTTCAGTAAAGCAAACCAGACTGCTGTCGTACCTTACATGTAACGAGTTTAAATTACGTAAAAACTAAAGGAAATTACATTCGAGAATAAACCTAGTGTGTTGCAAGTTATAGAGCACGACGTTTAATCAAATCGTTGTGTAGCGTATCAGTACTCAATTCAGTGATGTCGAGTGCTAAAACAAGCTTTACTTTTATATTTATTTACTGCATTTTAGCCCAAGATTCGCTGGGATTATCTCCTGTTGTATTGAGTAAGTGTCTATGTTATTTTTGAGACGTTATTTTACTTAATCGTATTGTTTCCCTTTTGTCATTCTTGTATTTATTTTTATAGTACCTGGAGATGGAGGAAGTCAGTTAGAAGCGAAATTGAATAGAAGCTCTGTAATTCATTATATATGCGCCAAAACATCCAATAATTTTTTCAACATTTGGCTTAATTTGGAGTTGCTAGTTCCATTTGTAATAGATTGTTGGGTGGATAACACAAGATTGGAATATGATAATGTCACCCGATCTACTAGGAACCCTGCTGGCGTTGACATTAGGATCCCTGGGTGGGGCAATCCAGAGCCTGTGGAATGGTTAGACCCCTCTCATGATAAGTCGGGGGCTTACTTTAACACCATTGCAGATGCTCTTGTCAAGAATGGTTATGTTAGGAATGTGTCCATTAGAGGAGCACCATATGACTTCAGAAAAGCACCAAGTTTGTATTTTATTTATTTTAGTTTACATCTAAAACTTTTTGAAACAAACAAAACTTAAGCCATTTAAACAAACACATTTCTATTTCAGATGAAAATGTAGATTTCTTTACTAAACTGAAGTCACTAGTTGAGGAAACATACAACATAAACAATAAATCCTCTGTCAGTCTGTTGGTGCACAGCATGGGTGGTTCTATGGCTCTTCACTTTCTACAAATGCAGACTCAAGCCTGGAAGAACCAGTATATCAAAAGATTAATTTCACTCTCCACGCCTTGGGGCGGTTCTGTAAAAGCTCTCAAAGTCTTTGCTATAGGTATGTAACATTTTTTATTTCCTAGGCCTATAATTTATTCAAGTTCCTCGGAGACAAAAGGTAAACAAGCTATAAAAAGATTTTTCAATAGGTTGAATTTCATATGCACTCAAAATCATTACTAAAAAAATATGACCCTTAAAAACATTATTCCCAAACTTCAAATGCATGAAAATACTACTTAAAATAATAGGTAGTTAGTATATAAAGCAAATAATTACATTGAAATGTGAAATTTTGTAAACAGTCTGTCTTACTTGTTACACTGGCCATTTTTGCCTTCAATAAAAAATTTTTAGAAACATTGGTTTATTTTTTTACCTTCTGTCTCAAGGGAAGTTGAATACAGTATAGATCTTTCATTACCATTAAAATTTATATAGTCATGTCAAAATTAGAATTATTTTCATATCAACATTGGAAAAGTAATACACCACTTTGGTGCTGCTTAATAATTAACATTAAATAAAAACTGAAATTAAGTTATTTTTTAAGCAGCACCAAAGTGTCAATATAATATTGTTCAAATAATGATTACTATTTATATTAAAAGAATTTGTTTTTTTTTCAATAGTAAGTAAGTAAGTAACAACACAATCATTAAAAATGCAACCAGTGCTCATTACTAAATTATATCATTTGAAAGAAGAAAAAAAGCATAAAAATAAAACTTGAAATTGATATTTAGTAATAGGTATTTCTATAAAGTTGCTTTGAGTATTGGAAACTATTTTCTACTAATTTTTATTATTACCTTAATGCAAGAAGCACAACTAGACCATAGTGCTCAAAAATGCTTCAAATTTAAATTGTATGGAAATTAATATTTTACTTAATTATTTTTCTGCTTTATATAAATTGTAGGATGATTTCATAAAGCAAATATTCGCGAATATCCCAGAGATTTTGGGAAAACGCGGATAGTTAAGACAATGGCGATAGATTTCTCAATCTTGCTTAAAAAAGATAGGATTGAAGAATATTGAGATTTTGGGTTCTTGGGTTCAAACTAGGTTAGGTTAGTGTTATGACCATGACGTGCGGGACGAGTCATCACCATTGTCTAACTATCCGCATTTTCGCAAAATCTGAAGATTTTAGATTTATCATATAATCCTACGACATGCAAAGTATTTCAATTGGTCCAAACAAATGTTGAAACGAAAACCTATATCTCAGTTTGTCTATACTTATTAAAGTGGTAAAGTTAGTTTTGGTTCTAATGTAGTAGGCAATCCTAAACTACTTGTCTGATTTAAGAAATTCTTTCACAATAATAAATGATTACCCCTAAATGAGATTAGAATGGCTTTCAAACAAATTAAAAACAGAACTTTTGAGAGTGGGTAGTAAGCAGAACTAAATGCCCTCCAAAAGCTTTTTAATCATTTGAAGAAGGCAGAACTTAGATAGCAGGGGAAGAACAATGGTTTGTCCTTTCTTATACTTTGGTCACTAACTTGCTAGCAGAAGCATCAAGGTCTTAGATGATGATGCATATATGTAATTGATGACGTACTGATGAATGCGAGGAGGGGTGATGCGTTATATACCGTCCACGCCCACAATTCACGGGCAAACGTTATCAATATATTAGTGAGTCTATTCAGCGCCAAGCGGCCTGAAACTTTGATTACTAAGCCCTTTCAGATCCACTTCACCTTTTAGCTTTGTGTTACAGCACGTAGTTTCGCTCATGCATTTCCTAATGCATCTATCACGCACGGCGAGAGATCTGAGGGGTTGTTTCAAATATTTTCTATGGGATTTTTTCTATGGGGGGAGGCAGGAAACAAGATGAACTAACATTCATTCTTATATTGGTTTATAAACTGTAAAGGCATTTTCGGCACTCAAATTTAAGGGTGGTCATTTCGCACCCTTGCTTCCCTCTAGCTACAACCATGCCCATAACTGTGATGGGTAGTTATTAAAAACTGCAGAATTTTCACAAATTGTGTGTCTTCAACTATTAGTGTGTGTGGAAACTTGGACCAATGAAACCTGAAAACGTTTGATGAAAAACCCTTCTTATTAAAGGCCGACAACGCATTAGTGACGTCAGCACCATCTGATAAGCTGTCTGCTCACGAGCCCCCTATAATATATAAAAAAGATGTTTGATACAAAATGTCGTTCCCAAGGGGTCATTTGATGTTTCAGAAGAGATCTTGTAATTTTTACATAAACAAAAAAGTAATATAAACGTGCATTTTCGCAATTTCAGACCTCAAGTTGTCCACCATCTCCTAAAGTTTTATTGTGAAAAAACACCTCCATCTCTATGCACGCTCTCATCAAACAGTTTATAGTGTGACCGTAATTTTAATTGGTAATAAATAACTTGCTTCTTAACATTAAGATTACATGCGTTAAGAGACAACGACCTACTGTGATGTTGATAAGACGTCGCACTTATTAAGTGGCAAGATTTTTTTAAGCGCACGTAATAATAAGTTCCTGTTGTTTCTTTTGAAGTTATTATACTTGACCACTCTGTTAAGTTATTGCAGCAGAGTTCTTCTTTTTGTTTCTTTCTTAACGGCTACAGCAATTCTGTTAAAATGCAAACTTTAGCATTCAAGCTGAAATGTCGTTGTACTATGACCTATGACCTGAAACCACCAGCCGTCCACCTAAGTCAAGGGTTACACGATCAGTTTGGCGTCAGTTCAGTCCATCAGTTTGCTCAGAATGCCGCGAGAATTATCGTCTAACCAGTTGACTGACTGACTGATGGTCCAGAATGACAAAAATTAAATATTTTAATTTTTTTATCATTCTGTTGTGATTGACATCAGACTGATGCCAGACTGACCGTGTAACCGCTCGAATTATTCCCGCGTCAGTCACCGTCCGCGACGCAATGGAGCAAGACGTGCCAAACGACGAAGAATTGCCGCCGCCGGCGTCGCCCGCGCCACTGCCGAGCGCTTCACTCCCGCCACCGCCAATCGAGATAGAAAAAGAGTTCATTGTCACATTCGAGTCCTTGCCAGAGTTATGGGATAAAACCCATAATTTATATTGCAATAAATATAAGAGGAATGACGCTTTGCAAAAACTCCTCAATATATATATATAATTTTGGAAGTCTTCTTCTTCATCCTGTTGTCGTATTTCATTTAATAAATTAAGATGCGTGTAATGTTCTCTTTTTTGCAGCCAGGTTTTCATCCATCGCTTCCTTTTTACGCGTTTCTTTAGCAGTAAAGCGATAATTATAATAGCACAGGCTCTTTTATTCTTCAAAGTATCCATGGCTTGGCAGGATGAGGTGACTCACTTGACTGTTCTCTTCACTTTACAAATGATGACTACGTAAGTTTTATCAGTCTGCTGTCAGTCTAGACTGAGCGTGTAACCGTGTTTTTCATCCATCATTCTGGCATCAGTCTTAGCCGGACCAAACTGATGGCCTGAACTGACGCCAAACTGATCGTGTAACCCTTGACATACAATTGCCACAGTTGGCAGCATCTTTCGTTGTATAAAAGAAATTATCTCAATAAAATGTATTTGGTACTTTGGGATAGACTTATAGGGAAGCTATTACTATTAGTAACATAACGGTTGCAAGCTGAAAATATATAGCAAATGTTAAATTATAAATTCTGAAATGGTAAGATTTCAATTAACTTAACTAGGTATTGTATTATACAATAATATTTAACAACAAAAGTATAATGTTAAATTATCATTTCTTGTTATTACAACGCATTTGTCGTTTCGTAGTCATTTAGTTACACATAACAATTTAAAAATGACGACGATGGTATGTAACATTATAGGTAGACCACTTAACTGAGACCCCATTCTCGTCCTCCTCTACACTCTTTACTCCACAGGCGAGAACTCAGTTAAGCGGTCTACCTATAATGTTACATACCTTTTAAATTGTTATGTGTAACTAAATGACTACTAAACGTCAAATGCGTTGTAATAACAAGAAATGATTATTTAGCATTCTACTTTCGTTGTTCAATGTTATTGTATCATACTACCGATAGTTTACATTATTTACATAATTGGCGTGTAGAAACACCTATCACTATGTATAGATACAACTATCTTGAGGTAGTTCAGTAAGTTTTATCAGTTCAGGGTCAACGAGAAATCAGAAGCGAGCAAACTTACTTAATAATACTTATCATCTCTATACCCTTATGAGAAAGAATAGCTTCACAGGTATACGATAGCTCAGACAAACGGAAATAAAATTGAATAAAAAATTTTAACTATATAAATTCTAGTTTATAATATACCAATATTGGATGAGTTGCATGCATCGCAATCTTTCGTGACAAAGAAATACAGTTTTCTTATTATATTTTAAGAGTTAAACTGCTAGAAAATCAGCTTTTTTAGATAAATCTAAAGAAATTTTGATTTTTTGAAATTTGAAAAGGTTCAATGCCCAGTCGAATAAAGATGGCAACATTATAATATGTGATGTCCACTATTATGAAAAATATTTAAAAGATCATCAAAAAAGTATTTTAGATTGGTAGTCGTATTTTCTTTTTTTGGTGATCATTTAAACCACTATTATTCGTTGTCCAGGCGACGACCTCGGATCGCTGGTGTTGCGCGAGAGCATAATGCGCACGCAGCAGATCACGTGCCCGTCGCTGGCGTGGCTGCTGCCGTCGCCGCTGTTCTGGAAACCCTCGGAGGTGCTGGTGCAGACGGACAAGTTCAACTACACCATCAACGACTTCCAGAAGCTGTTCACGTTAGTGGCTTATCCTTATTTATGTATTGATTTATCAAGACATAGAGTAACATCACTATGTAGTTTTAAACCAATACCCCAAGCACGAACAACTAGCGGGAAAGTATTTGTATCATTAAGTCAAAGTTTCTACGGGAAAAGGTAGTTTGTTCTTACGTCCGTTAGGGGCGCTGCTTAGTTTCCACAGACACTTTGAAATCCGTCATCCCCACCCTAAAAATAAGTTTGATATATCAAGCAACCTAAATAAACGGCATCATCAAAGTAACGCCAATTTACTTTTACTTAAATATTGGCTTATAGTATTGGCTGTCGCTTGCTACTTGGCGATAAATTTATAATGAAGTATTAAATTGACGTTTTCTAATACGGCCGTTATTATCTTAAATTTAATTAATAAAAAAAATGGTTGCGTGTACTTATGTAGGCGCGTGAGAAGTTATCCTTCTTTGGCATCGTTTAAAATTAGTTTTTAATTGCATGCAAATAATTAATTACAATAAATTAATAAAAAGTCTGGAAAAGGACACAGTCAATAAAGTTCAGTTCAAATTTGAAAAAATAAATAAATTATCAAAATATTCAATTAAAATCGCTACTGAATATAATTTATTAGAACATATGTGATTTGCACTTGTATGAAACTCAAACACGTATTCCGAATATACAAACTAGAAACATGTGGATAAATATTATAAACTAGCGGCCCGCCCTCGCTTCGCTTCGGTGTAGAGCTGAAGTGTAGACTACAGTTTTTGTTCTCAGGCTTGTATTATACACAATGACATTCATCTATGATTCTTCTTATACCTGCATGCAAAGTCTCAGCCCGATCGGTTTAAAATTGATAAAGTTTCATACAAACTTTCATTCCTTATTTTATCCCCTTGGGATTTTCTTTATATTTTTTTCCGTAAGAACCTTGTACAGAGTAACCTTGTAGTCGCTAAAGCGACCAACTTCATGGTGTTAATTTTTTGTGTTACAGATGCGCGCGCATCTTAAAATTTCACTCTCATAATTTTTTTATAACGCGCATAAAGAAGTATAACTTCAAAAAGCTAAGGTATTATTTATTTTTTATACTTTATGTGTATTAATTTTTAATAAATTAACCGGCAGTCGGTAGTTAATAATTATATGATATTTTCCTAACACACCACCCTGTTTAAATTAAACCAAATTACATTTAAGGTTTCTAAAATGATCACTTATCGGATTATTGCATTCATGTTAATCCCTAATCTATTAAATTAACAGTATCTCGCTAAAGTACAAAAAAATATCACATTGAAATTCGTAATAATGATTCGTTATCATTCACTGATAAATACCTATTATGTGCTGATGCAATGATAATATTGTTGTTTATGAAAATGCAATGTATTGTTTCTGCGTCGTTATATTTGTTCTATACTATTGAGACTAACAATATAATTTAATTAGTCGGATATAAAACAAATGCGTGTATGTTATTGAAATGTTCAACAATGGAATCAATCAATCAAATGAAGTCATAAAACATTTTCAAAACAACAAAATCAGTATAAAAGTCAAATTTATACAAATTTTCTTTTCTCAACTTTACGCACTTGTTAAGCACAATATTAGTTAATGGTGTCAATTCTGGTATGATTCTAAAGCTAAACTTAAATTTGACAACAGTGTATCTTTGTACAGAATAAAATACAGAATGAAAAGATCATACTGATGTTAAATTTAGTTTAAAGTTTAGAAAGTCCTGCCAGAATCGACACCAATATTAATTTAATATCGGCACGGGCCTTCGTTGTGGATTCTCCTGTCTCCTTGTGCAGTACAGTACGCTTAGTACGAGTTTGAGCTCACGAAAACTATCATAGTTTTCGTAAAAGTAAATTATGTTTCTATGTTCATTTTGGTGAAGAGTAACCAAATATACTTAAAATTTAAGAAGACGCAAATGATTTAATGATAGAATTAAAACACTGTTCATTTGGATTAAAACAATAACAATAAAAACAGTACCCTTAGTACGAGTGCGAGCTCACGAAAACTATCATAGTTTTCGTAATTGTAAAACTCGTACTAAGGGTACAGAGAGCTCGATGGCGGAAGTGGTTAGCGCGTTCGGCTGCGATCGTTAAAGTTGGGTGACCTTCGGAAAGCACGTTGAGCCGTTGGGCCCGGCTGCATTTGCAGTCGTTAGCACCCACCAATCCGCACTGGGCCTTCGTGGTGGGTCAAGGCCCAATCTGCCTATTCCATTCATAGGGAAGGCCTGTGCCCCAGCAGTGGAGACATTTATAGGCTGATAATGACGTATCTATAACTTAAATATATCATAGGCTAGGCTAACGATGAATATTGCCTCTGCGTACAGGGACATGGAGCTCCCAAATGCGTGGGAGATGCGCAAGGACACGCAGCGGTTCACGGCCGATTTCGGCGCGCCCGGCGTCGAGGTGCACTGCATCTACGGCTACAACATATCTACCGTGGAGAAGTGAGTGTCTTGTTTTTACCTGCCTCAGTATCCCGAATCTGCAACTGCGTGTTATTTCTTGTTATACAGAAGCGACAGGTCACTCGTACGTTCGCTTACTATTCAACGAAGATGATGTTTGACACAGAGGTAAATTAAGAGAAAATGCTAGATAAAACTTTTGTTGACTTGATTCCAAATTTAATCAGTGTCTTTGTATTTTTTTTTTCTTATTATAGTTCGCGTATAATCTCCGAGATTTGTGGACGATTTTGATGATTATCTTTTTTGTTTGAATTAGTATTTTGGCGAGATGGTACTTCCAAATTCATTTGGCGAAGATCTGATGAAACTTTTGGAGAAAACAATGGAATCAATGACTAACAGTACACATATTGTGTTTAGTTATTTTAATGAATATGAAAGAGAATGAAGGCCAGGTATCTATACTTAGTTGATGTTGCTCTGGCTTCTAAAGTGCAAAATATAACCATTTTTTTCCCATAAACAATAATCAGTTTTAGAAAAACAAAAAATATGCAAGTCAGATAGTAGGAGTTCTGAGTTGCCCTCTAACGGTTTTGATAGCACTAATGTAAATATGTCTTTTAAACAACTTGAGATATAAACAAAAAATAATTATTACTATCTTTATATATATAATTCTTCTGTGAGTGTGTATGTAACTGAACTTCTCTTAAACGACTGGACCGATTTTGATGAAATTTTTTGTGTGTGTTCAAGGGGATCTGAGAATGGTTTAGATTCACAATTTTGTCCGCTGGACAACCCCTATTTTTTTAGGGCGGTACGAAGTTCGCTGGGTCAGCTAGTTATTGTATAAATTACGTCATTTTTTTCAAGTTTTTATCGATATAAACTAACGGTCGCACATTTAACTTTTAAATTTAGTTTAATAATAATGGTATTTTGCTATCATTTATGCCTTAGCAATTGGATAATAACACTGCATAATAACAACCTTTAATAGTTACGTGCGGCCATTATTAATAATGCTGCAACACCTACAAATCTTACCATTGCATACACATTCTTACAATAAAACTACCCGCAGGTTGGTATACAAGCCGGGCACGTGGCTGGACGGATATCCGCAATTAGCGACGGGCGACGGCGATGGCACAGTCAACGCCAGATCTCTCTCCGCCTGCGGCCTCTGGAGGCAAAGACGTTTGTGGGGCAGAAACCCCATGCGCGTAAAAACATTACCGCTGCCCAACGCTGAACATTTACGCATATTGCATGACCAGCGAGCAGTAGACTACATAAAGACGGTACTCGTCGGCTGAACAAGAGGTCTCTCTTCCGCTCTTTTGGGGCAAACATACCCGGGTAGTCAGGTAGTAACTCATTTTGTTATGCTAGGTTTTTTCTAATCACCATTTCAAACGAGTAGATATTTCGTGTTGACAGTTAGAAAACGCTACTAAACAATATATTGGAGATTAGTTACCACCAAACCCAGTGATTGAAAACTCGCACTTTTCCAACCCAGCCAGCGCAGCGAGATGATTACCAAGCGCAAAAAGTTGCAATACTTCAACTGAGAAGGATTAGCTTCAAAGTTCCTCTCTGCCTGCACCCTGCTCATTAAAGGTCTAAGCCCACATACACGACTTCGCTCCCACCCGCCAAAAAGAATATAATCCAAATTTAGGTTTTACGTATTGATATTTAGTTGTACTTTACATCGGCAACATAAATTAGCTGTCAGCGAGCCTAGAGCCGTGAGACTGCTCGGTAGTTGATGCCTCCCTTACCACGCGTTGCAAGCGAGCGTTCTTCAGTGCTTACTGCTATTACTTGGCCATTCTCGCATTTCTACCAAGCAATTCGCTTACTTAACGCTTGAGGAGCCCGATGGCGCGGGGGGTTAGCACGTTCGGTTGCGATCGTTGAAATAAAGCAACTTTCGCAGTGGTCGGTCATTGGATGGGTGACCAAAAATCTTCTATCTCGAGTTCCTCGTTCACCCGCCAATTTGCAAAGGGCCCTCGTGGTGGGCCATGGCCTAATCTCACTATTCCATCCATAGGGAAGGCCTGCGCCCCAGCAGTGGGAACATTAATAGGATGATGATGAAATCGCTAACAGCTAGCTCGACAGCGCCGATGCGCGTGGACTGCAAACAGTCACCTTAGTTTAGGGAAGTGTTGGCGCAGTCTTGTAAGTGGGTTTTAACCTTAAATTTAGAGTATCTACTCATCGGCTAATAACGTATTCGCTTCCTGTCTGTAGAGTGAAGACAAACGAGCGTATTTTTGTTTGTTGTGAATCGCTGAATAAAAATACGTAAATTGAACTGCTTTTAGTATGTTTCATATGGAGGTCTTGTGTCTCATGGTAAACGAAAAGATTTAAAAAAACAATATTGAAAGAGATTTACGCTTGTTTGGATTAACACGCGTTAATTTTAAAGCTGTTTATTCACTAGAAAAATACTTTCTAAGGAAAAGCAAAATACAGTAGTTTTGCTTTTTCCTGGATCCCTTCCAACGATCCAACAGTAAACACAACTCGCTTATCTAATGTAGCTTTTAGCAATATTGGGTAATAACATTTTACTACTACTTGAACTAGAACTTTGATCAGTAATTATAAAATTGGGTAAAAAAAAGTCAGGGTGTATCACCACCGAAATCAGGGAATAAAGACTTGGCCCTATTATTTAAAATATTTCGTGCAATTAAGCAAAATTGTTTACTTTGCAATTTTCGCGTAGTGTGGAGTTGATTCCTTTCGTGTCGATAACCCGCTCATTACCTAGTCTATACTGTAATTTTTACGGATTATTGAGAGCTAAAAACGGTTTCTCACATCAATCTACTATAACAACGTAAAAATTTGGCTTTAATTTATCGTACTTTCCATAGATAATTATGCTACAAATAATTATAGCTATTGACGGGATTGTTGCCATGTACATTGTTTTTATGAGTCAAAAAACAAGGTACATGTTACAATCCCGTTAATAGCTATAATGTTAGTGACCATGAAAGTTTAAAGCTACTAATAATGTTCAAAAACTTCGCTGTTGGTGTCGTTGATAAGTAAATCGTTTTCCAGTCGATTGATTGAATTCTTGCATACGGTTATAACAATATAGCATTGTCACTACATATTAAGTATAAAATATTAATATACACATTCTCGTACTCTTAACAGCTATCACCAAAATTAAGATAAATAATAACATATTTTTTCAGCATGTATCGCAATTTATATTATTCTTGTACCAGGTAATTTTTATTTTGTTACTTAGCAATTTTATTTGTGAGAGATAGTGTGGAAGGAAGACTCAACATTGTGAATCGTTGCTAATAAAGCATATCAATTTTGGCTTGGATTCATTTGATCTGAAATGTAGTAAGTTTTTCAAAAATTCTAGCAATCTTAGCAGGTGGTTCGATTTTAAATCTATGTCTAAGAAATAAAATAACATAGATGTTTTAGTGCGCGGGTAGCATAAGGTCTTGCCAGTGAATGTATATAACTATAATTTAACTTGTGAGGTGATAAGAACAATGAACAAAACTTAGCTTTATTTGTTTGGAATGGGGTATTCATAGTACCAAACTGGTTTCGTATATTTTCAATAGATTCACTTTATACCCGTTTCGTTTTAACGATTAAAGATTTTCTCTTATCATCTCGCAAAAAGACGTGTGTCGTAGAATAATCCTGAATTACGCTCAAGCTTAATAGCAAAAAGAATATGGTGTACGTTGTTCTTCAATGTTAACTTTTCTTAATTTAGTGATTTATCAGAATGTGCAACTGCTTTTAATAGAGATGATGACATAACTTTTTTGTTCCTCGTCAAATAGGTAGACTATCGAAAAGTCACACATAATCAAAACATTTGATTTGAAATATCACATGACGTTACATCTCGGTCCAATTTTTACTTAGAAGTGACGTCATGATCCCCGTCTTCCAAACCTTGACGCGTGTTATTTTTGTCTTCAATCAAAAAGATTGATTGAAAAAAAAAATTGGGGAGAATTATTTTTTGATAATCTAATGACGGACTTTGTTAACTTTACCCTGTCATCATCCCCTTTGTTAATTTAGCTCTCTTAGTAGTCAATATTACCAATTAATTAGTTGTAATATTAATAGATTTTCTATCTTTAAGTAGTCTAATATATATTTTATTCTATAAGTAACATACTCAAGCCAGTGGCTGTGATAAAAACTTCTCATGGAAGTGTCTGGTTCTCATTGAAAATTTTATTTTTTATTTTTTGACACATTGATTAAGGAAGCATTTATTTTGCTTTAATGGAATTCATTAAGTATATTTTATTTTTTGTTGCATAATCAATTTTATTTTCTGTGGTTCTTCAAATTCTGTTTATAATTTCTTTTATATTAAAAGGAATGTTTCAGTTTATGCAGCTTGTACAGCCTCTCTCTACATTATTGTTGTCTGAATATATTTTATCAAAGTATAAATAAATGAAAATAAAGTTATAAACTTAAACTTCTTTTATTTACAAGTCCTATTCACTCAACTTCTATAATTCCCCGAGAGTATCTTCGTGATGTCTGAAAACACAAACAAAAAGAAACTTAGCTATTAGTAATGGTGTTTCTATAGGTTCTAATGAAAAAAGTGAACGTTAAATTTAATATAGTGAACTCTTGGGACTGAAAATAGATTTAATTTTACTTGAAAAACAAAATGTATTTATAAGTCTTATTGTAACGCTGACTTTGCACGGCTATTTTATTCAAAATCGACGTTACACTCTTCGTACCCTCTGCTTTAGCACACACTCTATCAAATGCATAAAAGAAAAAAAAATATAGAACAATAGCGTGGCCATGGATCATAAAAAATAGAATAAAACTGATACAGATCAGGTATCAATTTTAAAGATTGGCGACAGAAGGTGAAAATGATACCGGGAATCTAGAAGAAATGGGTGAAGCAATTAGAAACTACAGCATACATTTTTTTTTACCTATGATAATACCAGCACCAATTAACAGTATCCACAAATAAGTAAGTAAAAAAATAATATTTAAATGTTAATTAATAAAACACATTTTCGTAATAATCATGTAATCTGGGAGTTTCACTTGTTCACACGCCCAACTGGCCGCTTACACTAAACAGCCATTTTCCATTTCTTATAAAAAAAGACGTAGAAACATTGAAACCACTAGGTTATACAGCGATTTGGTTACAAAGCCCAGTATATAAAGCTCTCCTTAATACTACCATATATCGCTAATGACGACTTAGGGCAAGCGCACATTGAGCCACTAGACGCTGCCACCGATCGCCGCCGCTAGAGGCTTATAGACGCTACTCAAACGCTTAGTTTGCGACGATACTTTACAAAATGTATGAAAAAAAAAGTGTGCACGGACCACATATGAAGTGAAAAAGTTCTTTTCTCAAATAACCTAACATTAGGCGGTAATAAGGCATAGGGGAATGGAGCAGCGCACGCATCACTCATATATATATATATATATATATTGTCGCGTGTGACTCTTGTAACACGCATTCGCCGCCGAGTTACCCTCCAACTTTCATACTCGACAGAAAAAGCTGCGCACGCATCCCGCACACACATATATATATATATATATATAATATAGTCGCGTGACGCTAGTGACGCTTTTCCATAGGATTTTTGAATTTACACCCTGTCCGAAAAGAAGTTTCACTTCAAAAATCGACCGTAGCTTGTGGGCGCGTTTAGTGGATCAACGTGCGCTTTCTCTTAGGCAAGCCGTACCGTAGCATTCAGTCAGCGTCAAGTATACGATTTTGAATCTTGCATTGTTGTAAAAAAGTAATTATATTATGTCAAAGGGGCTAACTTCAACTATATCAGAGCTATATGTAAGCAAAATACAATAAAGTAATGGAATAAATTACTAATGAGTTAGTTAAGAAAACCAAATAGTTCATAACAATTTCAATTATGTTTTAGCACCATAATATTGAAACTACGAAATTATTGTAACTGATTAATTGAATTACAGAAGTCCTTTAAAAAACGTACCCAATTTCACTCAAAATCGTATAAGGCGAGAAATATAAAGTTATTTCATTAAATATACGTACATACAACAGTGTATCTTACATATTAATTGCATTTCCTTAAATTTAATAACTCAAGCACATCTCGACCTATTACCCTATTCACCAGATACATTCAAAGATCTATCAAAACAAAACTTAGGATTACATTATAAATTTATTAGTGCATTAACAGGATGTTTACATAGGAGACCTTACCAACATTAAGAATAAATTAAACTTAACAATAATTAATACAGTCTGACAGTTTAAGACACAAACCCATGTGTTATATACTTAGCTATAGTTTATCGCATTCTTCAGAGGTTATATTTAATGATCATTATTCATCATGATCCATAAAAAGTACAGTCAACATAAAACAAAATTATCTAAAACTGTTCAAAATTTCAATGGAATTTTAATCTTAATTTCTTGGAAAGAAAGTTCTAATCCTTACAATTATGCTGTCGACTGTACTAAGGGAAAAATCTAAACATACACTATTGAAAATTATATTTATGAAATCCAGATACAACGTAAGTATGAAAAAACGAAAAATATCATTAAATTGATGTTATATCATGAGTTTCAATCAACAGATCATAGACATATCCACGAAGCCTATAAAACTCGTGCAATGCACAATTTAAGCGTCACGAGCGCTTTGTTCTTTTGAGTGTGTATGCTATTGGTTGCAGATGACCTTTACAGCGTCGCCGGGTTTGGAGACGGCGAGATCCTAAGGGGAACTCAAGCCGAGAATTAGCGAGTGCCTCTAGAGGTATTCCAGGCGGAAGGGATCTCCCCACGGGGAATCTCCTCTCTGAATCATCATGAATCATCTCTCTCTCGCTCAACTAGAGGGCGTCTCTAAGACTCGAACCTCGGCTCTAGTTAGCCGTTGTCGTGAGGGCTCACGAGCGCTTTTTAACGCTATTAATTTATATGTTCAACTTAATGGGCGATGTGCAAAACTGCTAAATTGAATAGTCGCCGTGTTAAAAAAGGGCTACCACGGCAAACGAATACTGTCTGCTGCACACATTGGTTTAATTTTGATGAGCAACATTTTTTAAACGAGCCATAATAAAAGTTATCTATCTTTCGCAACACGCTGGCTGTTTGAAAGTCAGTTCACGCTAATCTACTCTGAGGCCCTAGCACGAACTTTAACAGATCCGTAATTGTATCGTCATTGTCAAATCTTGTATGGAAGGAGCCAGTTTCTTTTTTCGTCCGATAGGGGCGCTGCTTACTTTTTATAGAAACTTTGACGATGTAATGCGATTACGGAACTGTCAATGATCGTGTTTGGGCCTCTGTTCTGACTGTTATAGTAGCTGCGTACGGTATTTGCGTCTGATCATTTTTTTAAGTCTGAATCGTTCGTTTATTACATCTAGAGTAAATCTGAAGCGTTCGGCAATTCCACTCGGCTCAGCCCGATTTAAATCTGTTTGCTCGGAGTATTTTGATCGACGAGAATGATTAATCTCGTTATCTGTAATGTTGTGAGGTTAGTTTCTGTTTGAGTTTAGAAATTAATCTACGGTTGGTCGGGCCGTTCGGTAATAGCAATTTGCTCAGATTAATTTGTGATCACGTGACCAAAAATCCGTCCCCTCCGCGATTCAAATACCGAACGCAGCTAGTAAAGTATAATGTAAAAACGTTAAAACTTCTCTCAACACTGCGGCGCAATAGTCATGGAATTGTCGGTGGTTAGTAATTGAAATTTACAGCACCTAATAGTGCTGTGACAATGCGCATAGCAATAAGTTCGATATTCGTTGTGCATGATCACTAAAACATGAAAATAATACATAAAATAAACATTTTAAATATGACTTATATTCCCAGTTACGCCTGTGACTTGAAGCTCACAACATAACTTGATGGAGTGGATGATGAAACAATTTAAATTAATAAATGCTTTAACTTTCCTCTAAAATTATAAGTATTCGATGATGTTCAAAGCGATGTTGTGATAAAAAAAATACCATTGTATTCACACGAGGAATGAATTCAACAACTCTAACCTAATAATATACACATTATTAACGAGAAATTAATATCACATTTCGAAATGAAATCTAGGACATAATATACAAACGTGAAAATAAATTACAATGACTCAATATATTAATTTTGTTAACGAATCCAAATTAGGTAACTTTTTGCGAATTTGATTTCAAAAATAAATAACTTTTGTCAATTTTGACATTTCAATAATAAAAAATGGATTAAAAATTTAGTGACTTAATAACTACATTACATTTGAGGATTTAGCATTCTTTATTAGCCTCTATATGCCTTTTACCAATAATCCCCTTTTTTAATTTCGTGACTTTTATTCACACTTGCCAAAATTAATATTTGGAAATAAATAGATAAATACCCTACCGTTTATAGGTTTAAAAATATTTATCGACTCTACATTAATTTACAAAAAGAAAAAATCCTGCCTCATACAACTTTCGATGCCCAGATAAACGAATGAGAGAGGCAACTCACACACAAAGGTAACTTGTAATTTCCCTGGCAGCAAAGGCAACACTTAAAATCGACTATGCGCGTGCGCATATCTTCAAAAATACAACTAACGACTCATACAACTTTCATCTTTAAGGTTTTCTGAAGACAATACAAAATTGTTGTCCATACACATTATTGGTAAACGACATTAAAACAATTCCTCCAAGGCATCTTGTATTTCTAAATTGCACGTTACAAATTTGTTTTTCTGACTTATTCTAATCTTACTACTATCAAACAACTTCCTCAATCTAGTGCAATAAAAATGACTCCTATTACCTCTCTATAGAGGAGTAGTTAATAAAAAGCATTTTTTCGCAAATCAGTTTGTCCTCTTTCGGGCTTGTAGATCAATGGTGATGATTTAATCTATGCCTGACCACAGCACCATGTTCCATTGAAATAAGAGCCAATTTCGTGTATCAATTCGTTAGTAAGCTTTTAAGTAAAAATTTAGATTTTAAATATTCAAATTATCACCCCAGTTGTCCAAAGACTTTATTTTGCGGATATCATATTAAAATAAGAAATAATTAATTTGATTAGCAGATGTCATATATAACTTTAAGAAGAAATAATTAATTCGTTATATTCATTAAGAATAATACACGGAATTATTTATAAAATTTGATAGTATAGGAACTGATAATATCATAAAAGCTGCATTAAAATAACTCAAATGTTTTTTTAATGCAGTTACTTTATTTTGAAATCTTCAACATATTGTAAGGAAGGTGAATCAAACATTAAGAATAGCTCTGCCAACTCTCTAATTCACTCGAAAATCATCAGAAGCTGTTCGAAAAGTTAAAATCAAAGTCAGTACGAAACATGATTTCGGGCGATGTTTTAGGCTGCGGCTTAGGAAGCGGCGACATGACGGCTAAACGCATTGAACGACAATTCCGTTAATATTTATAATATGTATTTTTGTGCACTCTCATTTAAAAGCGAAGTTGTTAATTCGTCATACAACGGATCTTATAATATTTTATTTTTATCTTCGCTACAGAACAACGCCGGTAGCCTCGAAGATAAGTCTCCCATTTTGCCTTTTAAAACGCTTAAAAGAATACTTGTCTATATGTAAACATTAATGGAGTGTCGTCTATGCGTCAAGCCGTTCGCTTATCTCCTTTCACCGGTAGGTGTTTAAAGTACCAAAGTTTACCGAAGCATCATTCACTTTACGCTTTTTACCAAATTTTTATAATTGTATTCCGTTATTCAAATTGCTAGACATTCCGGATAACTTATAAACATAGACATAAACAGTGGACTCGGCGACAATCACAGCAAATCGACAGCAGTACCCTTAGCACGAACCAATGTCGAATTCGTAACGTTTGCGAGTCCATAATGTCATTGTCAAATGTGTACTGACTTTTAGATCGTTACGTACTTTGTGGTGCTGCTGTTCAAGTTTCCATATAAAATTTGACATTGACATTTCGCACTCGCATACTATTCGAATTCGATAATGGTTCGTGCTGGGGGTACTGAAAGAGGAACCGCGATAGTGCATTGTGACACTCCCATAGCTTGCACGAATACTTAATTTCTCTCACACTTATTTGCCCACTTTTACATTTCAACAGGGAATATGCAATCCACAATTTAAATTTGAACAACGAAAAACATGTTTTTCTCTTTCCAAATAAACAAAACTTCCAAAGTTGACGTACCCAAAATCGTCGATACACGTTCGCTGTGAACATTGCTTCTTTAAACTATGGCACTTCCACCTTCCATCGGGCAGCTAAAAGCGGAAGAAGACAAACTGATAAGCGTGGCGCTACCTTATGAACAGCAACTCCGGCCGGTAGTACACGTAGACGCCGAGCAGTACTGTGGCCGTCGCGAGTAACGCCCGGCGAGACGATAACGCCTTCAGGAGGGAAGGCCAACGTCTAGCGGGCGGGTTCCGACGGTTTCTAGCCGCCGCCTGTCTACGCTTCATGCGCTCCTCGTCTAACCGGCGTACCTCCGCCCTGTGTCGAAAGAAAAGTAACGTTAGAGCGAGTTCAAATAACGCCTTCAAGAGCGGGCGGGTTCCTACGATTCCTAGTCGCGGATCGTTTACGCTTCATGCGCTCCTCGTCTAACCGGCGTACCTCCACCCTGTGTCGATAGAACAGTAACGTTAGAGCGAGTTCAAATAACGCCTTCAAGAGGGAAAGCAAACATTTGGCGGGCGGGTTCCTACGATTCGTAGCCGCGTATTGTTTACGCTTCATGCGATCCTTGTCTAACTGGCGTACCTCCGCCCTGTGTCGATAGAACAGTAACGTTAGAGCGTGGTTAAATAACGCCTTCAGGAGGGAAGGGTTAACGTGTGGCGGGCTGGGTTCCTACGATTCGTAGCCGCAGATCGTTTACGCATCATGCGCTCCTCGTCTAACCGGCGTACCTCCGCCCTGTGTCGATAGAACAGTAACGTTAGAGCGTGGTTAAATAACGCCTTCAAGAGGGAAAGCAAACATTTGGCGGGCGGGTTCCTTTTCCTACGATTCCTAGTCGCGGATCGTTTACGCTTCATGCGCTCCTCGTCTAACCGGCGTATCTCCGCTTTGTGACGAAGGAACAGTAACGTTAGAGCGTGGTTAAATAACGCCTTCAGGAGGGAAGGACCAACGTCTGGCGGGCGGGTTCCTACGAATCTTAGCCGCGGATTGTTTACGCTTCACGCGATCCTAGTCTAACTGCCGTATCTCCGCCCTGTGTCGAACAAAAAGTGACGTGAGAACGGGTCTGTCTATACTGAAGGACTATCGTCTGGCGGGCGGGTTCCTACCTTAGTAATTCTCTTGTCTCAATCCGTTTAGGTGTTTACGCGTGATTGAGTAACAAACATACAAACTTTCACAATTATCGCTGAGACAGGTGACTAATAAAATGTTATCATGTCGAACTTTTTCATCCTTCAAAACCCAAATAAACTCATTGGTCTAGGTTTTCTTCTACAGTTGTTAGCTTTGTCTAAAAGTCTGTGCCACAGCCATTTTGACATTCATTTTCATTCAGTCTTAAATAGCAACGAACGTTTCCGCAAGTCGACGTTCTTTTGACCGCTGTTTTGCGTTTGGAGTGTGTGTTGTAGGATTCAATCCAGTGAGCCCAGCGCCGCCAGGAACGACTCCAGTGACGTCACATTGTTTTTTTAATACTTAATAGGCAAGGCGTTTGACCACAATCTCGCCTGATGGAAAGCGATGATGAGGCCTAAGATGGTACACGCCTGCCTAGAAGAAGCCTGTTCACTCTGTTCTTCAAGATGTCCAGATTATATTGGTTATTGATAATTGCCTTTGGAGGCTTCCTGGTGACCCGAGATAGACATTTACATGAATACTAAAGACGTCTGTCGGTCTGTTACCTCTTCACGCTTAAACCCCAGATTTGATTTGGATGAAATTTGGAATGAAGACAGTTTGAGTACCGCAGTAGAACATAGAATAATGTTTATCTCTGATATTAACTTTTAAAAGGGTGTTAAAAGTGATGGAAGTGTGTATGGCAAACCAATTTTTCCCCCGCAGACGAAGTCGTGGGCAGCCTTTAGTAATGAAATAAGTAAAACACTCACTCTCTCCTCTCGAGCGCCGCAACTTCCGGCTCTAAGACTTCCGGGTCGTTTTCGAGATACAGTTTCTCCGCAGTCACCAAAATGTCTTCGAACGGTAAGTCATCTGGTAACTGTAACAATAATTTAATAATTTGTTATATATGTGTGCATTGTGCACCTTGGGGGCTTTTGTCGGCTATGAAGTCAGCGCAAGTCACGGCGCAGTAAAAAATATGTACAGTGCGACAACTTTATGAATGTGAGTGACGGTTCAGGGAGGGTGCCACTGGTATTGATTCTGGCAGGATTCGCTAAAGTTAAACTAAATTTGCCAACAGGGTATCCTTGTCATTCTCTATACAGAATGAAAAGGACAGACTGATGTTAAATATAGTTTAAAGTTTAGAGAATCCTGCCAGAATCGACACCATTATCTACGTAAATTACCATAAACGACATACAAAATATGACGTTTACAAAGTCGGCGGCGTGGAGGCGCCATCATGATGATGATGATGAGTGTGACTGGCTCAATGGCTGCCTGGAATAAGGGGGATTGGAGGAGGCTTTTCCTATTTAAAACTAGGATGAACTTGTGGACAGTGACGTCACTCACCCGGGACAACGGCAGTGTAGCATGCCCATGTCGCAATCACAGCGCAGAACCTTACCGCCACGGTGGAGTACTATATTGCCGTCTTCAAACGAAAGTGCGGCTAAGTGGCATGAGGTCGATTTTTCATTTATAAATTGCATCTTATACAGTTTTTAATTCTTTATCGATCTGTCTTTAACAAGTATTTGTATCTTTTATAGGTTAGGTTAGGCTTATAGGTTACAAAGTAGCAATAACTTAAAGTTTACGCGCCGTTTTTTGGCCATATCTCAAAAGTTGGTTTTGTCATTTAGCCGCGTTTAGCTAGAGGACGGCAGTATAGCGGCGACGACGTAGACCGAGAACAGTGGGGGCATTTTGATGCTGACTCAATGGCTGCCTAGAATAAGGGGGAGGGCTTTTTCTATTAAAAACTAGGATGAACATGGACAGTGACGTCACTCTCCCGGGACAGCAGGCAGTGCAGCATATACAGCGCAGCACTATAGAGGCGGTGACGTAGACCGAGAACAGTGGAGGCGTCATGATGATGATAATGAGTGTGACTGGCTCAATGGCTGTCTGGAATACGGGGTTTCCCCCACTCAAAACTAGGATGAACATGGACAGTGACTTCACTCACCCGGGACAGCAGACAGTGCAGCATGGCCATGTCGCAATCACAGCGCAGCACCTCACCGCCACGGTGCAGTACTATAGCGGCAGTGACGTAGACCGGAAACAGTGGAGGCGCGCACAGGAAGTAGTCGTAGAGCCGCACCACGTCCGAGTACCGGTTCAGGCTGTGCCCGAACCAGGTCAGGTACCAGGGTAGGGCGAACATAGTGCCCACTTGAGCTCTGTACGCACAAATTCACGCAATTGTATAAATAAACCCTTTATTCCCAGTCGCCCTAGGATGGATTGCCACCAGAGGTAATTGGGAATGGAGTCATAGACCATAGTCCACACTTAAGCTTTTTTATTACCATTTGCCTCCGGCTGCAAACCCGCGACTGGGAGGGTGATAAACGACGATAAATTTAAAGAAGACGAGTTGAGTATGAATTTATTAATTTTAAATTAGTCTCAATTGATAGAATTGTTACTGTGACTAAACAAAGTACTGTCTGTGTATCTTAAAATCCTCCATTTAGCCTATTAAATAACCTTTACCTATTAACATTTTTATAACGTCCATTGATAAATAACCGTTAGTATTCATCAATAAATGTTGAAAATGTATCATTATAAAGGACTTAACATAATTATCGCTTTTATAAAATTGTTTAAATAAACTTTTATTATAGCGCTTCACCAGCACGCTTTACGCAAAGTCCTACGTGAACGATCTGAGGCTCAAGCATAAATTTTGACAGCTCAGTATCCTTAGAAAGATATCGAATTCGAATAGTTTGCGAGTGCGAACTGTCATTGTCAAATTTTGTATGGGAACTTGAACAGCAACACCAAAACGGGCGTAACGAGAACGTTATGAATTCAATATTGGTTCATGCTAAGGGTACTGTAATAGTATCGCATCGTCAAATTTCTATAAAATTTAAACAGCGCCCATATCGGTCGTAAAAACAAACTAGTTTTTTCGTACAAAATTTGACGATGAGGATACGTTACGGAGGTCACAAATTTCGTGCCTGAGCCTCGGGATGCGAATGCAAAGCAGAGCGGTGCGGCGCGAAAATAATAAACTCGATTCGCAATCGCATTCGCGTCGAGTTGCCCACGTATAAAGTCCCTTAGATATAAAAATGTCGACGTACCTGTCACTTCAATGTAATCGAACCTAACCTGTCCTCATTAACTAACCGATAAGAGTTTATGGCTTTCTTACTTATAAACACTGGTGCGTGATAACATTCACTGGTGTATACTATATTCAAGTAAATAAATTTTACAATTTTAGACATACACCACCACAATTTGTCGAAAATTGGTGATTGACGAGTTTCACGGGACAATAAAAAAATGAGATAAAATATAGTGTGCACCACACATATGAAGTGAAACTTCTTTTCTTAAATAACCTATGCATTAAGCATAGGGGAATGGAGCAACTCACGCATCCCACACACACACACACACACACACACACACACACACATATATATATATATATATATACATAGATATATGTGTGACGCTCGTGACGCATTTCCGTTTCATCTTTTCCATTTACACCGCGTCCAAAAAGAAGTTACACTTCAATATACAATGAAAGTCATTTCATGTCGATTTTATTACGACTATTTAAGACAAATCTTCATTAAGAAAAACGTAACGGCCCCTTTCAGAGAACGATTCGAGTGATAATTTGGTATTGCAAACGTCTGAACGCTATGGCGCGGCTGCTTATTATTTACGTGGACCTTATGTATATTTGTCACTCTTTGTAAGATAATACCGGCCTAGTTCGAGTCGGACTCACACACGAAGGATTCCGTACCCATTATCTATACAACATTAGAAACTATATTATTATATCGAGCAAAAACGTCAAAAAATCACGTATGTTGTACGGGAACCCCCTTAAATATTAATTTTATTCTAGTTTTAGTATTTCTTGTTACAGCTGCAACAAAAATACATCATCTGTGAAAATTTCAACTTTCTATCTATCATGGTTCATGAGATAAAACCTGGTGACAGACACATGTACAGTAAAGTCTTAGTAATAAAGACCCGTTACCGTTTTACCTTTTGGGTAAGGAAGCCTAAAAACTATAAATTATCATCATCAGCTTATTAATGTCCCCAATGCTGGGGCACAGGCCTTCCCTATGGACGGAATAGGGAGATTGGGCCATGACCCACCACGCGGGCCCAGTGAGGATTGGCGGGTGCTAACGACTGCATATGCAGCCGGGACCAACGGCTGAACGTGCTTTCCGAAGCATGGTGGAACTTAGAAGATTTTTGGTCACCCATCCAATGTCCAACCACTGCGAAAGTAGCTTAACTTCAACGATCGCAGCCCAACGCGTTAATCACCTTTTTTTCGAGTCTGAGAAATGCCTTACGCAAACCCCGCCGCTGGGTAGGCGACGGGGTTATGTGAGACTCCCCCCCTACCTCCCGCCCACCCACTCAGTCAACCCTAGGGCTGGCTCAGTGGCTGCTCGGGATGAGGGGGTCCTACCCACTAAAACTCCGGGATGTGCTCTCCTTGCCTTAGGTGGCGGCATGGGATCCTTACTGGGAATCAACCACGCCGCCGCCGGCCGGCCCAGCTTTTAGCCAGGTCACCTCACGATCAACGCGCTAATCACCTGCGACATCGAGCTCCTCTGAATGTCTATAAATACTATCAAAGAATACTAGAAACTAGCACATACTTTTCCAAGCAGTCGGCGACGTCTGGGTCGGCGCGTCGTATGACCGGCAGCATGTAGTTGAGCAGGTGCTGCGTGGGCGCCATCGTGGTTTGCATGAAGGGCTGTAGAGGCGCGCGTGGACCGCACGACAGCCGGCACAGTAGAGGGAACGACGCGCGGTCGCCGCACACAAGCAGCAGTGTAATCGCGACATCGTGATACCCCTACACCATATCATTATCATCAGTGCCCTTAGGGGGTTCAAGTATTACGTAAGCACTATAGGGGGGTAAGGGGGTCTTTGCTTTGCTTATTTTTGATGACATGGGGGGGGTGGGGGGTAGAGATGGTGATTACGTCAGCATCATCGATTAAGCCTTTTTAAGTACTGCTGCTCATGAAGCTCATGAATCAATAAAAAAACAGAATACATTAAAGGAAAAATGCATATAGGTACCAATGTTGACGTAAGGATGGGGGGGGGGGAGGGGTAAGAGCTTTTGCTGACGAGGGGGAGGAGGGGGTAAATAATTGTAATAAATCTGCTTAGGTAATACTTGAACGGCCCCTAGTACGAGTTTGAGCTCACGAAAACTTTCATAGTTTTCGTAATTGTAAATTATGTTTCTATGTCCATTTTGGTGAATAGTAACAAAATATACTTAAAATTTAAGAAGACGCAAATAATTTAATGTTAGAATTTAAACACTGTTTATTTGTATTGAAACAAAAACCAATAAAATCAGTACCCCTAGTAAGAGTGCGAGCTCACGAAAACTATCTTAGTTTTCGTAATTGTAAAACTCGTATTAAGGGTACAGTCTATTAATGTCCCCATTGCTGGAGCACAGGCCTTCCCTATGTATAGGGAGACTGGGCTGTGACTAGTGTTGCCAAGTGTCCCGATTTGCGCTGGACGTCCCGATTTTCAGGGGTCTGGGGACGCGTCCCGATTTGTACCTGATCGGGACGCTAAATGTCCCGATTAATCATTAAATTTAGGTAATTAATATAATATGTACTATACTTTCACTAGTAGTTTTAAACGCAATAAATTAAACCCACTAGACTTAAAAACCCCTTAATTTTTTGTTTACTGTCCCGATCTGCAACCCTAAATCCCGATTTTTTTGACCTCATGTACCGATTTAAAAAATATATGACCTGGCAACACTAGCTGTGACCCACCACGCGGCCCCTATGCGGATTGGTGGATGCTAACGACTGCAGATGCAGCCGGGACTAACGACTTTGCATGGCTTCCGAAGCACGGAGGAGCTCAAGATAATAAGTTTTTGGTCACCCATCCAAAGACCGGCCATTGTGAAATTGCTTAACATTCCCCATCGCATGAGGAATCCGATGATGCGTTCCAACATGCATGAAGAGCTGCAGCGGTCGCCGCATACAAGCAGCAGTGTGATTGCGACGTCGTGATACCCCTAAACCGTACGATGCGTTTTAACTCAATTTTTTGACGACGATGTACGCCGGTTTCATGGTGTCGCCGATTCGAGAGGTCCCGGGTCCGAATCCCAGTGGGGGCAAATGTTTGTGTGATGAATACGAGCATTTGTACTCCAGTCATGGATGTTAATATGTATTTCTTTATGAATATACTTATGTATGTACTGTATATATATTCTATCCCTTACCCTAGTATCCCATAACACAAGCCTTAGAGTGCTTACTTTGGGGATAGGCTAATTGGTGTGAGTGTTGGAAATATTTATTTATTATGTATGTAGTAGTTATTTGTTGGAATTTATTCGAAATCATTTTACTACGAATTTATCGTACACTACACAGCAGCGGACATCGCACCCGCAATATAAGAGTGAGAATGCAGGTCTTTATACAACATGCTATTCCAAGTACAGATAAATCTTCATTATTATCAGATTTTGCAAGTAAAACATATGTTTTACCATTCCTACGTCATATTTCTGTGTTAATACAGATTTACGATTGTAGTTGACAGAAGAGATAAAAGTCAGTCATGTGAGAACTGACCTTTCTAAAAGTTAATTAACTCTTACAATTGCAGACCAAACCCAATGAGCAAGGAGTCATCAAACTACTGATAATACTAATGAGATTGTTGACAAATAAATTTTTGTTACTTCCTAATTAGATTTGTATAATAAGGTTGTTTACCGTTTTATGGCATTACCTGTTATTGTACTAATGTTTGAGTGAACACATTAGTAACATATTCAAAGATCATTGTGAATGTACAGGAAATTATCAACAAAATGAATTTCAAATTAATATGTTAAGGCCGTTACTTCTATCCAATTAATACAGACAACAATAAGGCATGAACAACAGATGCATAAATTCATATACCAAAATATTGAAACATAGGCAGTGATATTGTAAATTCACTGTCGTAAATATATTATGAATAAATTCTAAATATATAAATTCTTGTCTATGCAAAGTGACAATTATTGTATACATAATGAATAATACAAACAAACATAAAAATACACGACACAATTTTAATCTTGTTGACAGATAAAATAAGTTTTCTGATATAGATATAACACTATTCTTATCATATTAAATTACTACATATAAAAGTAGATGTTAATTACAATTTAAATGGCTGTGGCAATGGCTTATCATCAGGCAGGCCATATGCTTAACACCACCATTTTTTATAAAGAAACAATCTACTATTCTACTAATATTATAAATTTAAAAGTTTAAAAACGGCTGAACAGATTTGGTTGAAATTTGGCACACATATAGTTTATTACCTGGATTGAGACATAGGATACTATTTATTCCAGGAAAGTGTTAGGTTCTTGAGGGATTCTCAAAAAACTAATGTTAACACAGATGGAGTTTAATGGCTGCTAGTATTAATAAAGGCTTAAATTTATCTAAAGTTTATGCAGAATAAAGAAAATAATAATTACCTGATAATATTTCAAGTCTGGATGCTTAATAATGACCCTTAGGATAAGCACTGTCAGTTGATCTTGCAGGGCCACACGTTGTTCATAAGGTATGCCAGGAGGAAAACGTTTCAAAGAACGGTTCACATCTAACACCACCTAATAATACAATCATTATTATTAGTCATACAGGATAAAACAAGTTCTCATTTTGCCCCAAGTTATTGTAGATTGCCTTTAGCAGAAATATTAAGAGTAATCCATAAACTGATTTTATTAATAGACAGAATGATAACTAAGTGTTGATCTTCACTTGCGTACAGTTAGAAAGGGATGTTGTTATAAATAGCACATAGCGACATCCCTTTCTAACTGTACTCAAGTAAAGATCAACACTTAATTGTCATTCTGTAATACAAGCCTTAGAATAAGTTTTAATTAAATTCATCCTAATAAGGCTAGTTAGTCTTAGTAACTTGAACTTATGAAAGTTATATCAATTGACAATTTCGAAGTAGGCGAAAATAAAGATAACTACATACCTGATTATATTCTCCATGTGTTGAGAGATCATCGAGTGATGGTGGCTCTGTCATTTCTTCTTGTGTTACTCCAACCAAAAGAGGCCATACTACTTTTCTATAATCATCTGAAAAAATTTAGATGTTAAATTTTCAATTTTCTAGTTACCTTTTTCTTATAAAAAATAGATATTGCTAATAGCCATCAGATTATTATTTCAGTATAATTTTAGAACTCATTAGTGGAATATAAGCCATATAAGCTGTTAAATTCATCTTAGCAAAGTAAAATTAAGTTTTTAAAGTAGAATACAAATGTAAGCCTAGCAGTATATGGAATTAGATCACGGATAAGGCGTTCTCATATCTGAAGAAATAAACTGTTTGTATTTTTTTAATGAAACATACCACTTATTAGGCCTCCTTTACTCTTGGCAAACTGTTGCCACTTTTCCAAGTTCACGGAGTCTGGGTTTTGAATACATCTTTCAATTTCCTTCCTCTTCTCAGAAATCTCAGGGTCCTCAAAGTCGAAATCTGAATAAATAAAATAAGTAAGTCATCACTTTCTCTTTTACTGGACTTTAAATAAGCATATATGATATTTTATATTTTTATTAATAAATATGATTCTATACGTTATTGTTGATTAGGGAAGTAATAAATCTAAACCATAAGTTGTTTACAATACCTTCATCGAATTTCAGTTCGGAAGGCGTAGAAATGTCATCAATATTTTTGGTGTGGTTCATGTCGAAAGCTTGTTTCGTCGGAGGCGGTGAACAGTCTCCATTCAAGTTGGACTTATCATCAGTAGCAGAATCAAAATTATTGAATTCCATCGTAGAAAGTAAAAATTTAATTCAGCGAAAACATTACACCATCCTCTTGACGCGTTGACATTTCGCAACTTATGACAGTTATTTGACATTGACAGAACGAAGAATTGTCTTTTTTTAATATTTTTTTACAATTGGAAGTAAAGGACACTAAGTTCATACAACTTTAACTTCAGTATTATTTCTTTTATTTTGCATTGGAATACGAGGGTAACTCATCTTTATGGTTGCTTCCCAATTACAGAGCATAATGCGACTCAGTGCCGAACAATGCCGAATTATGCTGATGCTTAATTGGAACGTGAATTAGTTTTCAAATGCACCAGCAGAGTGCGCTTACCTTTACCTTCATCCATATTTATATTTAATTTTTAACACAGTTTGAATTAACTTTGATTATTTAAAAAAAAACTATGATGAAACGAAAGTTTTAATATTTTTTCTATAATAAATAATATTGCTAATGAAAACATATAAATAAAAATCGAAAGAAAAAACACTTCTGTCTCCAAGTTGGTACGATTGCACGCATCACACGAAAGCATCACTTTTGAGAGTGCTCAATTGTGCGAAGCGTTGCTGTAGTTGGAACACTCAACGTTAAGCATTATGCCGCATAATGCGCTATAATGCTGTAATTGGAAAGCTACCTATGTTTCTTGGAACTTTATATACATAAATATACCAGCAAATCGTGCTTTTGATGCAGGCATAATAACGAAGCGGAGCTAAATCCCGTAATGGATAGGGTTGGGACATATGATCAGTAGGGTATTTTCCCATTATGTAATTAAATTCTTTGGTTTTTGGTTTATATTCTCTGGAACATTTCACATTTTCCTTTCTGGAATACTGAAAAAGTGCCTATAACGTTGAAAATATAGCGGGTTAGTAGATCTAATCAAAATATATGTCAGAAACGAATGTCCCTGTCAGTTGTCCCCCCTCGCAGCTCTTGTTGTCGTCCTCGCAGCCTGTCGTGTCATGGCGTCTTGGCCCTAGGATAAATACGGGGATAGAACAACCAATTATATTCGTATTTTTTTTTATACTAAAGGGGTGGGAAACAACCATAAACGTATAATAATAATAATTTATTTGCAGCCGAACATACAGACGTTTACCTTACTACAATACAGTATCACCACATGAGTAAAGAAGTGTAGGTACAATCACTTGCGAAGTTGTATACTCAGGGCCGGATTCAGAGGAACCGGAACCCCGGGCAAACTTACTATTTGCACGAGATTGAGGCATAGAGTTCGGGCGAGTAACGTTAGGGTCTCTGATTCTGGATTATTGCTTGTTCCACTATTACACTTTAAGTTAATCATTAAGCTACGATAGCACTTTTTATCTCCTATGACTAAATTCTAAGGCTATAATTTTCTAAATAAAAGGTTTTTCTACAAAAAAATCCCCGCGGTCCAGGCAGCCAGGAGAAAGGAGTAGTTTGAAAATTCTATGATTTTTAACTACAAAATATTACAAAAGGAAGAACATTATTATTTAGTCTCTTTTACTTACTATTTGTCAGTTTAAAAAACCAACTTGATTTGTTTACGTAACCAATAAAAAATTAAAGGTAAAATTTTCTTAAAAATACCAGGAGTTCTTTTTACTGTCATGGAATCTAATGAAAGCCAAAATGATAATGTTCGAAAAATTGAAGATATAATAGAGATACAAAGAGCAAAAGGTAATTTTAGTGTACGGCAAGTAGTTTTTAATTTGCCACCGGATTCGAACGCTGTAGCATCAACAGATCTAACCCAAAGTCTAGAATCAGGTTTGTCGAAAGAGAAAATTAAAGTTACTAATAAAATGGTGAAAAAATTTAGGTCGAAACTGTCGAAAAGCCCGCTGCCCGACGCATTGTCTTGGCCGAGTGACTCCGATATTACGGTGCTGCGAATGAAGCTCGGATTGTCCGATAAGGAAATGAAGGACAAGGTAGGGGCCGTAGTGCCAGGCGACGGGCTACATCAGCCTGACAGCTCATCTATGATTAACCTAGCTACCCTCATACTCCAATCACAGTCGCCCTCTAAACACAGCATGAACGTGGATGAATATCTCCTGCCACTCACAACATGGGGGCATTGCGAATACACAGAAGAAAAACAACACAATGAAGACAGAACATTTAAGATACTTTCAGTCGCAAATGATGAACCCATGGATTCTTCTAAGCCATCGTGTCATCGCGAACGACGTGAAGCCTATATAATGAGTTCGCGCGACAGCGATTATTCTAAAAACACAAAAAGATCGAAAATGGCGAGATTCCTGCGGCTTTACTTCTGTCCATGTTGCACTTGCTTGTACAGGCTAGAGAAAATGCAAGATGATCCGTCATCATATTTCACAAACCATAACGAGATTAATGTTTATTAACGAAACGATTTTTAGACGAAATTAGCATGTAAACTTTTTTTGTTAAATAGAAAAATGGACCTTTTTTTGTTCTGCTTATAATTTTGTGTAACAGAAACAGTCTACCTTCAACATACCTTCTGTAAAATGGTACATAGAGTTTAAAAAGTTTAAAATACAAACCTGAAGCAACAATTTATTAAATTTACATCATATTTGTCGTATGATTTTTGATTTCTCATATATAAATACTTAATAGTAAAATATTTATATCCCAAAAGAGTTAATTAAACATCAAAACCTCATTTGACGAGATCCTTAGCCGAGGAGTGTCGTTCAAGGTGTCGCCTTTTCGAGAGGTCCCGGATTCGAATCCCGGTGGGGATAGATGTGTGTGTGATGAATACGAAAATTTGTACTCCGGTCATGGATGTTAAATATGTATTTCTATATATATACTTATACATCTATCTTTCAGTATATGTATTCTATCTGTTACCCTGGCCCATAGCACAACCCTACAGTGCTTACTTTGGGGCTAGGCTAATTGGTGTGTTGTTTTATAAAAAAACCAGTAGGTTTGAGCACGACGTATATGACGTACATATATACCTGGCAGAATCGATTAGCAAAAAAAATCATTCCCCTGGTCCACTATTTTTCATATGCATTTAACAGCTGGATTTTTTAATCTAAAGAAAAATTCACAAAGAAAAATTCCAAACGGTCCAAGTATCTAATAAGTATAAGTAAGTACCTATGTTATCATGCACTTCAACTTCAAGCATGTGACTGATTATGAAGTACGTGATTAAGCTGTTAGTTTAAAAGCTGAGTGATCAGCCAAAATAATTTGTAATAGTTGCTACCAGCTTGGCTTCCGATATTAAAATTTACATTGTCACCGTGTTACGCATCTACTGCCGTGTCATTATCGAAATATAGTACGAAAAGAAAACATATTACGAAATCCGTTAGGTATATGTTTTTGAAATTATTCGTTTTTTGTAAAGCATTTTCGCCGCTCAAAGTAAGGCGCCTGTCTAGGAAAGTAACAAGAAGTAACGTTTACCTCAAAAGAGACTACAGTACAGTAATATAACATTAGTGTTTCTGTTAATGTCTAATGGCTCGATTACAATTGGTATTCGGGTGCACGAAAGACATTACTCGAATTCGGGCACCCTTAGCAATATTTACACTGGCATATGGGCTGGAAGACGATGTCAGGTAACCAAAACGAAAACTATCCGAATAGGGGCGTACTCTACTCCGTTCATTTACACTTAGTCGTTTACCCGAATTTTATTAGCACTCGTATTCGGGCTAACGACAAGCATCTTTGCACCTAATGAGACTCCATTTAGATTAAACCCCAGGTTACTTGAGGCGCATTGTTTTCTTCATCAATAATTTTCTCTTCGTCTTCTTCTATTCTTCTTCTTCAGACCCAAGAGCTTGATACCTTTTTGCAGGTCGGCAAATTGAATTTCCTCTTATTAGCAAAATCGCAGTTATATAAAATGATTGATGAAACCTCAAAAATATCACATATAGTCTATACGATACCTTTTTTTTTTTGTGACGAGGGGAAATGCAGTTACGCACCATACCGTGACACGCTGACTAGGCGCACGGCGTGTGTGGGACTCGCCGGCACGGGAAGCAGTGCCGACCCTACTCAACCAGTACCAGTGCAGAAGGCCACACTGATCCTACTCCACTAAAACCCCCCGGTACCCACCTACGCCCATATGGGGGCGGTCTCGGGGCCGACGCAAGTCTATACGATACCTACTGCCACATCGAGCATTTAACCAGTTATAATCATAGTTATGATTAGTATATAAATGTCTTTTTAAACAGAAAAGTCCCTAAATATATTCACTTAAGTACAACATATCTACTTCAAAAAGTCAAGTTTTAAAGAAAACTCAAATAGGTATATTTTTAAGAAAATTGTTGGTTACCTACAATGCGCAGAGATGGCGCTGCCTTGCAGCTTAAGAAATAGGCTTGAACGAATTCGACACGGCCATTAGGGCCATGGTAGCATAATGGTCAGTGCATTCGCCCGGATAGCGAAGGGTGCGGGTACGTGTCCCGTATGAAGCCTGGTCCGTGTGCATTTTTTTCTAGTAATATTTTCCTTAGATTAAACATCGAGCAATAACATGCTTAAAAAATAAAAATTATAGGTATCTTTAAACGAAATTCTGAAATTAAAATGCCAATTGAAATATAGTAGTGCTACACCTTAGGGTGTTGATTGAAACTTACACCATGGTATGGTCATTTGCATAAAGTTAATTAGATGACTTAATAACTTGAAGTATGTAATTCATAACTTTTTGCAGGCGACTTTAACATTTACTTACTCGTGTTGAAACTTTACGCAATGAAGGAAAAAGTTTTTGAATGCGATAAGAACGCATTTATACAGCTTAACATCCGTCACTTAAGAATCCATTTAACCGGTTTCCATAACAGACTCAGTTTCATCGATAAATCGATTCAGCCAAAGTACTCGGTGCACGCCGCTTATACGAAGCTAAAGGCCGTCCTCCAAAACAAATCTGATTTGGTTGATAGCAAAATAAATCGTATTTTACCGAAATTCGTTCTTTTCGAGGCATTGCTAAACCGTTTCATTTCTTCGGTCCCCCAGTCTGCGGCGCCTGCGCCAGCTGCAAGTTATAAAGCGAGGAGAAAGCACTGCGACCGCGCAGTCGCGTATCGCTCCTCCATATTGGCATTACGCTGTGATACGTTCCTTCGCGCGCTTTTTTATTCGCGTAGTGTTGCTATTCTATCATAACTACAAAAGGACTTTTTTCGTGAATAAATCATGGAAATGAGGTAAATATCACGCCGTACCATAATAATAATATTGTTAAATACACACTGCAAGGCAAATACTAAGCTAGGATGTTTAATGATGCACTTACTTTGTAATTTTTTTTTGAAAGCTTTATAAATTAAGCAGTTTTTTTTTCTTCATATACGTTAAAGATACGTTTTCTACGACATGAAAAAATATATCGATCGAATATTCTAAGAAATAAAATAACTGAACAAAACTAAATAAAATTGTTACAACTTACTACCTAGACAAATATTTGTTACATTCTAGTTCTAAATAGACTCCGACAAAATCATTTCATTTAAACTACTTTCACATTATACCTGCCTAGTCATTAAAAATTTACCGTAACACTATCTAGATAGAATACCAGTCAGTGCATTTAATCTCAATGAGAGAACTAGGTACTACACTATCGTAGAAAACAACATAGTATTACGTCGATACTATGTGATTCCGATGCGAGTATGTAACTGTATGAGAGAGAGATCAGTATCTTCATGGGAAAAGCTCTCTGCAAACTCCATTATACATTTATTTACGAACTACGAAACGTAGATACGAAACAGAATGATTAATATATATTTCATTATATTTTAATTCACGTATTTTATTCACATTGTTACAAAAGATGTAGTGAATTCTTCACCATAACAAAAGAGCTTTAATTAATTGATTTCATTTAACTGATTTCGTGTTGTAGGCTAGTTTATACTAGCAATTTATATTTTTGTGCTTAAACGACCAAACGTAAACTAATAAGTTGTAAGTACTTAAATATATCACAATATTAAAATATATTTAAATGTACCTCAGTTTTGTAATTAAATGTATCCTTAATTAAGAATAAGCTGCGTATCCTCAGTACAAAATAATGATCATCGAACTCTAGGAAAATTAGCATTGAATCTCAAAAGACCTTGTCCTTTCCGCTGTATTCATTCTCAGTCGTTTTTTAAATTATGCGAAAAGGTTCGAATATCTCCAAAAAGGGCTTTGACCTCTGCACTTTTAGGTGTTATTTACGGTGGTGACACGCTTTTAATAAAGTTTGATAAAGGGTTTTTTTGTTCAACTTAAATCTTGCTTAATCAATGTCAAATTGTAGCGTCGTCAATGTGTGTGTGGTTAATTTATAACTAGGTACTCTGCGTACTACGAGGTTATAGGCGTTTTCGGGTATAATCATTCTTCAAGTAGAGAGAGAGCACATTGTTAAAATTTAAAAATACATAATTTAATAATATTTGGTAGCACTCTGAGACTTAAGTTAAATTTGATACTTTTCATAGTGTCCTTCCTATTAGATTGTTATCACAAAGAAAGTGACATACTATAAATCAAACTGAAATTTACCGAGATCGAGATATTATGTTTGTCAGTATATTCTTACATACTTTACTATCTTAACATTGTGTTGCTTCTTAAAGAGATGTTTTATACCAAATATACAATACTAGTGACACACCCCTGGATTTGCACGGGTGAATTCATTTTAACCCTATAAATATAGATTTTATACTCGGGAACAATGTAGCTTCTACTGTTTTAAGAATTTTCATAATCGTTTTAGTAGTTCTAAAGATAAGTTCTTAAAACAAAATTCACAAGCTTACATGAGAAGTGAAACAAAGTTGTGCCAGTTATGCCTTTAATTTCATGTAACTTAAAGAGACAATTGATGAAACCAAGGGATATGAACATACAAGAATGATTATATTTTTATTTTTTATGCATGTAACTGCTAGATGTTTAAATCAAAAGAAAATCTCACTAGAAAAAAAGGGTCGCGTCTGCTGCCTGGTCCGCGTGGAATATTTTCTAGTAAAATTTTCTTTAGATATAAGAATGACATTATTATGTTTACGGAGATTGATTTTGCGCGCTCGTTGAATATTTAAAATTCATTTTGCAGAACTTTCTATTTCAGCCAAAACTTTAAACGTGGGTTCGGGTCAAGGCATAGCTATATTCATTGTTTCCCACACGTTGACTAATCTGAATACAGATTCAATCAGACATAAATAAATATTTCGTAGTATTAGTGGGTGCCTGTAAATAAACTCCGGATTAAGTTTACTTATTAATAAATAAATAAAACTTAATTATTTAATCCACCTAGATAGTTTTGCGTGAACACGGTGTAAAATGTAGATACCAATGTAATATTGTTTTGCATGTATTGGAATAAGAAAAAGCTTTTATCATTTTAAATTTTTAAAAGCTCTACCACCGCTATTTTGGTTTATTTTTTTTATTCATAGCCAATGTAACAACACACTTGGGAATGACATTCGAAAAATACCCATACATTCATGCATTTAGACATTTTGTTGGTAGGGGTCACGAACAAATGCAAACAATATTCTCTAAAATACTAATTGCACTTTGTCAACTTTTCGGACTACTTTCAAGTTAAGCTCATACAAATGTAAGTGTAGCGTGGTTATTGTGTAGCAACAAGCGTAACTTTATAAAGATATATTTTATGTGTGGATAAAGCAATATAAAGTATTCGCAGGTAGTAAATTATTTAATTATTGATTTTCAAAGTGAATATGCAACTTAATATTCTGTGAATATTTAAAGCGTCTACCTGTAGCGCTATGCGCTATATTCGAACCACGATGAGTCTGCAGTAGACTGACAGTAGAAGAAATATACCGTAAAACTCTATGCGCAAGAAAACAATTGAGATTTTGAAGTTTGCTTGGAACTCGGGAACAGATTTAAAACACAATTACTATAGATTACTATGAACGTAACATATCTATAAATAAAAAATTGTGTGTATCAGCTCCGACGCACGACTGGAGTTTATTTAACTTAAAAAAGATTGATACTGTATGAAAGGGTAAATTAACAAATTAATGAAAATAATATTCATATATAAATATATATTTATTCATTTCATATACATTTATTATAACTAATCGACGAAATATTTTACATTAAACTTTTTACAATAGTCAATTTCAGATGTGCATAAATATATCATTAGGAATGTTGTTAAAAAATGTAATTATTATTATCCGACTATTATCATTTATTTCAATATTAATTAAATCAACATTGTCTGCATTATTAATTACAGTGACAAGTGGTTTATGGTAACTAAAATAAGACACATGGACGTTCGTAGATACGTGGTTCACGAATCTTGAAAATACCGCATCAATGGTTGTACCATACCTCGTTGTCCCCATTGCTCTATCAGAAACAATATCTAAATTCAGTTCAGATTTTAAAAAAATTATTAATGTCAATCCGTCATCTTTGTTTGTCAAAGTTGCGCGACATAGGATGCGCACCAAAAACGTAACGAGGTCATTCATCGATAGATTTTACTCCTCACATTTTTCTCATACCGGGCCCCTTATATATGCAAATCGATTCTTAAGGAGTAAACTCCAAAAATCTTTGATTGTAGGTGATCAAATTGGCAATTGAGATACCTGCTTACAAGTAGCAAACTTTCGACAAAGAAGAATTAATAGTATTGATACTGACAGTTGCGTTTTCTACACTGGTCTGACGGAGAATCGAACCTGGAACAACAAAGAGGTCGGTCCTCAGAGGCCAAGATCTTTTTAAACGAGCAGATATTTAACCTGATTTAATTTCCAAAGTAAAGAAGATTAGCGAATAAGTTTTAAGTTAAAGTTAAAAAGGATTTAACAAGAAAATTACTTCCATAGATAGGAGTTACGAAAGCGCTAGGAGGTGCGAAGTGATTGCGCAAACGCATCATAACAAGTTCGGCTCAACATGCTCACACGTGCGGCTGGGCAGTGGGTCGAATGCGTTTTGTTTAACTTTTGTCTATCTCATTTGCATACCAATTACCGGAATAGCAACGGTCGCTGTTTTGACTAACGGCGGCGGTACGCGGGATCTTAATCTACAAGTAAAATTATTGTATATTCAACTTTGTTGGATATTGCTATGTTTAATTTGTTCCCACGAAAATAGTGACGACGTTTGAAAGTATTTTTAGAACATCAAAGCTTCTCAAAAGTGAGGATGTAAATACATCACTGACCAATCGAAACCATACCCACAGATACAATTTTTTTTTAAATCTTTTGTTTAGCTTTTCTAGTTAAATACATATTTCAGTAATGGTTTTTTCAAGATCAACTTTTAAATTTTACGTTAACGCAATAGTGATTCAGCCTCTTAATATTTTGCAAAACCTCTATTAATAAACACAGCAGCAGTCTGTAGCAGTTCAATTGACAAACAATACTCTTGGGGTGCGTGAGTAATTAGCAAAAAGTGATTAATCGTTTCGCTATTGGAACCTTGCGAATAATCGAATCGTAATCGCTGGCGCATAAAGTATTCATGCTCACGGAACTTTCGCACTGGTGACTAAACAAAGGCGATTGTAGTTATTTCACAAAATTAAATTTAAAACTTCCTGGTGGGCGTCGCGTGCGCATTATATCATGAACTTGAAAAGAAACGCCAATGACGGTAATATATATTCTACGCCATTATATGAGGATATGTAATACAAATGTACTCAAGTAGTTTTCTGCTATGACACACTTTAGTGATATCATATTTAGCATTTCGGTGAAATCACTTTTTTTTCTATATGGCTTCGCACCGTTTGTGCATTTAGCCAATGTCAAGTGTAAAATGTTTACATATTCTGTAGCACTCGTGGTCAAAATATTAGTCAAGTCACAGTAAGTGGCAGTCAAGTCAATCCCCCTTTCCCTATGTTTCAGTAAATGTGTGGGAATTTACTGGAACCTCCCCGTGGACTTCTAGAGGGAACGTCGAAAGACACTTTTCGCTATTTTGTTACACTTGCCAACACTTGTGCATGTTTCACCATTATTAGACACTAACATCCGCCACAACACAATTTTTAACAAGAAAAACAAAACTGCTAAAGTGACGCTTCCCGATCCCGCCAAAAAGTCCGTTAGATCACTTGCTTACTGAGGGGGTACGTGGGTGAAGAACCACCCAAAATATTTTC